AATAATAGCGATAGAGGTGATAGCTTTAGAAATTTCGGAACTTAGTTTTTTGCATGTTTTAATCACTAGATTTAAAATGATGTTTTTGGAGTTGCCAGATTTATTATTCAATAAATTGTTTTCTTCCTACTTCATTTCCCTTCCTGTTCCGAGCCAATCTTTTAGTAAAGAATGATTATTTTTAATTTGTTTTTTTTTTTCTTTTAGTGTGTTTGTCATTTTGGTATCCTTTCTAGATGATAAGGAAGATTTTTCAAACGGAATTTATAAGCATTTACAACTACAGAGTAAAAGCAGGAAATTTTCGAAGTTTTACTTATATGTAATCGAAAAGAGCCCTATACTTTTCTTATGTTTTACAAAGCCTTTTATCCATTGTTTATGAAGGAAGAATATAAGATATTTCGTGAGTGCGAGAGAGCAAACAAGTGAAAAACAGGATGTGGTAATGCCACTCTATTTTGTCAACTTTTCAATTATGTCGACTTTTGATGATGTTTTGCAGGGGATAAAAATTAGTAATACTTAGCCGAATAATTATTCTCTTGTTCTGCGTGTTGGGTGCTTTTCCGAGCTAAATGATTTCGAAGTTTCAGAACAAACATCAAATGAAATAAATAAGGAGATTCAGCGAAAAGAGGGACGACGAGATTCGGAATACTGGACAGGTAAGGTTACAAGACACGGAAGTAGGAGTTTAAACTGAACTGAAGTCAGTATATATATATATATATATATGATTTATTTTGATTGTTAACAAATCCCACTATAGATATGCCTTTACATAGAAAATACTATCCCTAAAATATGATGCTTGATGAAAATTAATTTATGTATGATTTTGCTGTCGATTTACTTCTCTAGTTTTAATACTTTTTCCCCTTCGTAATTCGATCAATAATAATTGTTTCCGATTTAGATGATGCAGCAAATGGAAGCTCGTCATCGAACGCCGACTCGAGTGTCGAATCAGAAAGTAGAATGATTGGAAGCCTTAGTTCATTACATCCACCTCCATTTAAGAAAGCACTGATATCATCTCCAGAACATTTGGTGCAAAATAATTCTGGCGCAGCAGTATCACCATCACAGAATCGAAATCGACCACTTACTTCGAAAAGTGCACTTTACATTACACAAAGTCAAACTTCGCTGGTTTCATATGGTGAACAGGAAGATGAGGAGGATCAGTTCGCTAAAGGTCTACACATTTATTTTTTTCTAGCAAAAATCTTGTTTAAAAAAAGAGGTACTTGATTATAGTTGATGCTTATATATGCTTGTGCATTTCTGTACATGTATTCACCACTTATTTAGACTTAATGTTGTTTTATTTATTAAAAAGACATGCGATTTAATCTAATATCCAAACGACAAACATAGTTTTCACATTAGTTTTCTAAAATTATATTGTTATAATTCAGAAAATGGTTAATATGCAGTTTGGACAGGATCCTCTGGTTGGAAACTTTGCCATAATACTTTTTTCTTCACTGTAATATCCTTTTAAGCTGACCGAAAAGCAGTTGCAAGCAAACAAACAGAAGAGAAAGGAAGCTCGGAATCAACAAATCGAGAACCAAAACCACCACCTGGTCATGAGGACAGTCGTTCACCGGATGAAATTGCTGTAGATAGTGCAGTCGAAGAAGGTTTACGAGAACTTGTAAGTATGCTCACTCAAATCTATGGTATAATCTGCTATGTGTAGTGACAAGAAAAGGAAGAAGTAGACGGAGACGAATGTGCGGAGAATCCCATGAAATAGTATTGGTCCAGAATCAAATGGGAAAATGGAAGGGAAGGATAACTTGGAATCAACAATTCGTGAACTAGAAACCAATGGAGATGTCGTTTATTAGATGGAATTGCTATAGATAGTTTATTTATGAGTTCTGTTCTATGCATTTTAGGAAAGGCAACATATCGACCAGAATCTTGATAGTTTGACACCAAAATCAGCGGAAGGAAATGATAGTCCGCAAATTCATGATGATCCTGTGGAAATACGATTACCACCATCGCCAGTCACAAAATGCTCTGCTGAACTTGAGGTACAAAATTTATTCTTGGAGTTTTCATTGAAATGAAGGTCAAATTTCAACAAAAAAGATAACGCTTATGTTGCAGGCAAGATTTCGAGGATTTTTCGAAAAAAAAGCACAAGGAGCTGATTTGAATGCATTAATACAAAAAAGGCGCGATTTCAAAAACCCATCAATGTACGAAAAATTGATTGAAAAATTCGAGGTGGACGAACTGGGTTCAAATTTCGCACCATCAGTTTTTGATCCACACGGTTTCACAAAGGACTGCTTCTATGACCAGATTTGTAAGTACTATGTTATTCTTTTTCCAGTTAATTTTCTTCTTTCCATAAGGTTGGAGCATAAGAGGAAACTTTTGATTCCAATGAATCAATCCTACAATATAATAATTTGTGATACGAACCAAATAAGGCCTTTTCTCTTCAGCAGTACTGCAAAAAGAAGCGATGGAGAAGTTCAATGCTACTGTTGAGAAGAAAACAATAAGTGGAACTGCGTCTGCTAAAGGAACTGAAGCTAAAAGGAAATCACGTTTTGAAGGTGCCAAAAAGTGACTTGCTTATTATGATAATTATTGTTGGATCTCATAATAGTTCTACAACAGTGTTACTGTTTTGTTTGTATAGTAATATAATTAATTGATAGGATTTTTAAAAACTCGAAACTTTATATAAAGCTTCACTGTAGTACTATGTTGCCTTCAAACCTTTTAATAGTTCATCTCTTTCATTTAAAAGGTATTTTTTAAAGCCATTTTTTCTCCAAAGACTGTCGTATGTTTTAAGGTTACCAAAAATAATTTGTTCAAGCAGATAGTTCAAAACAAATAATTAGTGTTTTTGCTGAAATCAGTTTCTTACGGCAGATATAAATAATTTATCCCTTCTCCGCTGTAGTATGTACTAGATGTATTGTTCGTATATGCTTTCCATTTGCCATAACAAGGCCAACCATTCGGGATTCCAATTCATCTTTCCATTGTTCCTGGAAGTAAACTAGTAGTAGACCGAATTTATGATCACAGAAATACCGTAATTCAAATTTCATCCCAACTAAACAACCACATTACACTACTCCGATATTATCCCATGAAATCTATCAATCATTTAGGATAAAAAATTTCTTAATCACCTTACAACCACTAAGAATTATATTTGGTGCGTTATCAGTGCACACAAATTTCCCTTCAATTATACGTCCATCCGTTAATTCGAGTCGTAAAATCTTCCCAAGCCATCGACGTATCCCTAAATCTTCTTGATCCGGCATAATAATTTCTCCTACAAAGAATTAAAAAAATAAAAGAAGCTTCGGAAACATTTGCAAGGAAATATACGAACAATTTGAAAATTGCTGATGAGATATTTTGGTAATGGAAGGAAGAACGATGACTAATGAAAAGTGATCATCCTCCAATGCTCGCACATTAAGATAGTTCTATGATATTTCCGACCCAAAAACCAAAAACATAGCTAAACTGAACAATTCGAAAGCAAATCTTAACATCGGAGAGCCTCACCTATACCTGATCTAGGAGATGCAAAAATCATATTCCCAAATGAAGTTCAAATTTGAAAATTACTTAATTTTAAGCTTATATCATAATCTTGTAAAAATGTTACATACATTGCTGAACTGTGAACAATTCAAATATCTTCGATTACTGACCTTGAATTCACCCATTTATTTTATTTTCACAATATAATATACATGTAACAACAATACATAATGCATAAACGTTTTTCTTTTAAAGTTAAAACCATTATATGTCTGATGAAAAACGATCACATACAATCATGGTAGGAAAATGTTTATTGCTTGACGATTTCAATGGCTAATAAGATAGAAGTCTAAAAACATGCATCGAAATCAAAAAATACAAATTGCAAGTGCAAAAGAAAAAAAACAAGAGAACATTTCTTCATTTATAATGACGATTCTTAAGCATTACAAAACAGATGAAGCCGATTCTTATATATCAACCCATAGAAAAACATAAAGCAGCTACCATCTTGACTCACAGTTTTATGCAAAAACAAAGAAAAAAAAATTTTCAAACCATTATATTTCCATTATTTCAGAACTGAAATGCTATCATTCTCTAAATAGACGAATGCTTATTTAAATTTTCAAAAAAGAAAAAAAAAAAACAAATGAGAGGATGAACTGCTTAATGATGTATACATTTCCGGAAATTTTCTAATATTTTTAAGTAAACTCTCGAATACAAAAATTTTTTTGTTTGAAAATTTCATTTTGAATCTTAATTTCTGTAAAAATAGCAAAATATTGGTTAACCACAAAAACAAGCATGAACGGAATTGTCAACAAGAAGTGATAGCGAATGTTAATGTGGAAATACGAAACATTGGTAACATACAGTATAAAGAAAAATGAACATTTTCATCCATAATATGCTGTTATTCTCAATCAAGCATATAATCCATGTAATTATGAAGTAATCATGTTGTTAGACGATCATTGAAATATACAAAAATTAATTGTAAATCAAACATTTTGCAAAAACACTGAAGTATTCCAATCCATACAATGAACAGAAAAATGAAAGCAAGACGATAGCAAATTCTGAAATTTAAATTTTCTCACTTGCAACTATTATGCAAATTGTTGGCAGTAAAGACTTGAAACGCATGGCTCTTAGTGAGAAGAAACACAGCAGGGGAAGAAATAAACTGTAAGTTCTTACATAATTCAAGGAAAAATGTAGAGCAGAAATAATTTACTTATATATTAAAGTAAAAGTAATTGAGCGATAAGGAGTAGTCTATTTATATGTTAGAGTAAGAATTTAATTTGTAAGTTGAAAGTGATTTAAAGTATAAGTAATTTATTTATATGCTAAAAACAAGAGCAGTTGCTATTTTTCATAACGAATTCAACCAAATGGTGGCAAAAAAAGAATAATTACGATGATATTTTGAAATTTCGAAATCAGTGACTTATGGTCACAAGTGAAGTCAAATAAGCAATATTTTCATTGGTGAAAACCATTCTTCTTTGAGTGCACATTCGCCTATAGATAGCACCATAACTTTTTTCATTTCTAATCAATTCTAGTATGGCTGATGCAAAAATAGGTGCTAGTCGTTCAGCTTCTGCCTTCGATACTCTGAAATTACATATGCTTTTTCCCTTTGCTGTTAATTTCACATGAACCTTTTCGTGAATTGATAACAGAAGAATCGAGCGTCACAACAAGAAGTAATAATCAATTCCCATAAGAAATCAATGGGGAAAATGTCGAAGTGATTTTAAAGAACTGATATGCTTCTTAATTCTTCCCAAAAAAGAGTTCGAAAATTAGCATAAGAGTACCGCATCAATCGATCTATATACCTTGCTAAACGATGTAACTTATCTGGAAATTCAACTCCTTCCAGTGCAGCTGCAATGAATACTGAAATAGCTGCAATAACCGACGGTTTCATACAGCATGTATTATAGTCGTATGATGCTATTTCACTAATAACTTTAGCCAATGTATGAACGCTAAGATCGTAATGTTCCGTAAGACGACGGATAAATTGAATGGCACGAGGATATCTCAGATCAAAATTCAAGAGATGTAACACCTGAAACAAAAAATTACGAAAAAAAAAAAGAAAATTGCAATAGAAATAGAAAAATAATCGTAAATCTGAACGATTCTAAATCCACGCAATCCCACCATCGCGAAAAGATAAGATTGTGTTGAAATAATTTAATATCTTAACGACTTGTCACTTAAAAAATGAAATAGCTTACAATATGCTCCGTCCCTCTTTTTCAAGAAATGTGTGTTTCAGAAAACTCGAAAACAGATAAATATAGAGGTAAAATCAAGAAACATCAAACACATTAGGCACATAAATGTTAGACAAAAGATTTTAAAGAAGTAAATATATGATTTGATCTTTGTAAAATCATAAAAAAGCTACAACAATTTGGTATTTTGAGATCTTCTTGAAAACTTCCGCCTTAAATGAATTAATTACTAAGAAAAAAAATCATTAAAGATACAAATATCTTACATTGATTTCCGCCCGCACGATCTCCTGCTTTGTATTGTCACAAGAGCTAAGATATTCAGATATTTCAGGTGGATAAATTTCTTCATATTTAGCTGCTACAACAGCACAGCCCAGAGAAATTAGTTGAATTTCTCTCTGAAAGCATTGAAAGTTCAAATAATTAAACAGGAAAGACAATAACACAGATAAACGATGAATGAACACACAGATCACTATTTCTTAATACACCAAATAATTAAAGACAATCAACTAAATAAAATTTTAAAATAATTCCTCCAGCACCTACTTATATTTGTCTCCACATTTCTTGGAATAGTTTAGTTTTTGCGAATTTCGCCTTAAATCCCTTTATCTTGCGGATGATTCTTCACTACCAGCTTCAGTTTTATTTCTCGTTTTTAGCAAATAAAGTTTTGTGAAACCTTTTCAAGTGTAAAGCGTCGTGCCATTAAACAACGGTCGAAGAGATTAACCGTTGTTAACTGTGTCTCTGGTAACAGCTTGAAAGTAATTTGCATGCGAGTAATCCAGTCTATTGCAATCATTCGATTTCTGGGTGTGATCTAAAAATTTAAGAATAACGAGAAAAATAAAAAAAGCATTTGTATAAAAGATGCATCATGAAAAAAGCATTAAATATATTACGATCCATAAATTCTACTTAAAATTTATTACTTAATCTACAGTATCTATTGCGACTTTAGTTCCTAATATCCGGCTTATGGTAATTAGAAACAAGTATAAACTTGAATGGTTACTATATTTACTAAGAACAAATGTCCATATAACATCTTAAAACGAAAATTTTATGACAGACATTCAATCATAATGTAACTTTACTATATTTTACAATGAACAAACCCTCGATCCGTGCAAGAAATTCGACGGCACCACTCCTTTATTCTCGATATAAAATAAATAATCCCAATTATCAGCTGCATACTGTTCGCAGTATACCACTTCGTTATTGTATGTGTCATCAGAACTACGTTTTCCATTACAAAATGGTAACGGTTTTAACAATTTCTTTATTGCTTCCGGTTGGGCAGGAGCAGTTTGCACAGCTATTTCGTTAGAAGTTGGCTTTAGCTTTAAATGCTGACTAGATGGAAATGCATCAGATTTTAAAACATGTCGACTACGCAGGTTCATACCTGCATTCGTTATGAGTGGTCCGAGCTCTGTCAAACCCTAAAAAGTTATATAAAGAATTAGCTACGCATAACGTATTAAAGAATTCTTTGATGGTAAAGAAAAGATTTACTTTGAGCAGAGGAAAAAAAGAAAACAGGAAAGGATTTTAAACGATTCGGATTAATTTATAACGTATTTTCAATGTTTAAGTAATATTCTACCTTGCCTAAGGTGATGCCACATTTAGGTTGCTTTTTCTCCAATGCTTTCGTTCGTACACGTTTTGGTGATGCTGAAGATGATCGCCGCAATTTACTAGAAAGCAACGAAAATTTGCTTTCACCTTCATCTTTGCCGATTTTCTTATTGTCTTCATTTGTTACAACGTTTTTCATATCTGCTAATGCAGCTCTTCGTATTTGTGCTCCTTCTTTCTGATCGTTCAAATTTTTCCCCAAAATCCCGCTTGCCATATTTTTAAACCGCTAAAGATACTTGAATTATCTAATTTCTATTATTTCTCAATAATATATTTAATATTTGACTAAACATCGAATGTTTTTTTCATTTCTTATAATCTTAATACAAATATCGGTGATTTTATGCAAGACAGATATAATCATCTGTTTCAATTAGCAACATATCAGCAAAGATGACAAAGCGATAATCGATAATTTTTTTGATTATCGCTTTAATTTAAAGACAAGGGATGAATTCGTTTCACTTTTTTGCTTTAATGATTAGTGACGGCATGGGTCTATTATTCTACTATATGAGAATTTGATACCACAGTAACATTAGAACTTAGTTCCTTCCGACTGCTCAGGTGATATGGAAAAATTGGTTATAAATTCTTCGAAGTTAAAAAGCTAGGATCTTAAGCAAATAGAAATTTGTCAGAAACAACTCCGCAATGGATAAAATAGATTGGATTCATATTAACTTTCTGGTTTTATATATTTGAGAATTTGTGGTAGAACTAAAACATGCTGAAATAAAATCGAATAACGTGAAAGGCGGGAACAGGGTTCCGGAAATCTTTCAGTTAAAGATCTTCAGTAACTTTGTTTTCTACCACATTTCGAGGATCAAGATTTAATTTATACAAGTACCCTTTATTTATTTAAAAAGTATAACGAGAAAAGATATGAAATTAAGTAGTATTCGTAACCCTTCAACCTCTATTGTAGTGAATACATTTTACATTAACGTAAAAAATAATAAAAATACATGGCGAGACCAACTACATGACAAACGACAAAAATTTTATGAATCACTTTTCTTTTTTTGGTCTGTTAATAATAAGCCATTACCGTCTGCTATTTATCAAAAATTTTAACAACCTGTAATGAGTTTTCACTTAGTTTCTTCTGCGATATTTCCATTCCGCCATTTGCGGATGTCGATCTTCCGGATGGTTTTGCAGGAATATTTTCATTCATAGTGCTATTCTGACCACGCCTCAACATTTTCACCTGAATTAAACAATGGATAAAGTAGTGACTTCTTAGATTTTCAAAATAAAATGAGCAGTGGCAATACAAAACGCAACGCAAGTAGTACCGTTTAATCTGACAAACATGTTCGAAAATTTTTTCAAAACTTCATATATTGAAGAAAATAGAAATTATACAAATACAACTAGGAAAATGAAGAAAATTTCCAACTTGTCTATTCGTCGTATATTTTAGTGTTTCTAATATCTGAAGTTTTTAAATTTAACCAAGCTACCATTCATTTTTCAGGAAATTTTTTAAATACAAGTTTGCAAAAACAGTCCAGTTATAAACGACCCGTATACTTTTCCAATACTCTCGAAAGTTTTCAATAATTCATTTTTTTCTTAGTAATAATAATAATAATAACAATTTTTTTTTTTAGTAATAATAATAAATTCTAGATTACTTCTCTGTTCATAATTATAAAAAAAGGGATTCAAGAAATAAAAACACTTGATAATTCAAAGAATAGTTTTCAGAAAAGAATACTGTAAAGAAAATGATAGTTTAGTTTACTGAAAGTAAGCTTTAAAAAATTCCCTATAACAGACACATATGCCTATTCATTACTCTACCTGACAGTGAATTCAAAGTTTATCATAATAACCGATAGCATCAAATATGGAGTCTTTTCTCTCACGACAATTTTAATTTTCTGTCTAATTAACCGGAAAGTTAACAATCATGGTCTTATAAATCTTGATATGCAATTTAAGAAAACGAAAATTATTGACCATCCACATGTAAAGAGACATAAATGTCAGCAGAACAACTTCTTCGAGAACCTGTTAGCAATTCAGGAAGTTCTTATCTGAACTCTAAAAGTAATCTGAAATGAGATTCTAATAAAATCTGAAAACAGAGAATGATCAAGTAGCACTGTAATTTTATATTTTTTAACGTTCATTTTATAAAACTTCTTACTCGTTTTCGGATCGAATGAAATCTTACTATGAGTGATTGGATTTAAACGAGAAATAAATTTTAAGGGATTTAAATTTTGTAATAAATATCGCACTAGAAGCAAAAAAGTTTTAACAATCACGGTCATTATGAATATAAACTTGTTTTAATCAAATGAAATTTCTTTAAAATCAATTACAATTTTTATATTAATCTAAACTTTTCCGTCTAATTAACCGAAAGGTTAGTGGAATTAGTTGGTTATTTACCAGAAAATTAAATGAATTCATAGAAAAACTCTTCCAGTGCTTCAAATATTTAAATCTTTATTACAGTGTGAAAAGATTGTGTTTGACTTAGTGAATAAGTTTGATATACATGAGAAAAGGAAAACTTACGCGTGTTGAATCGAATGCGTAGGAAATTGGATTATTTTGTTGTTAACATCGCAAATGACCAAGTATAGAATCGTAACATAGAAATATGGGATAAAATAGGAGTAATCTGAAGATGAAGGTAGTACAGTAGAACACCCGATTAAAAAGTTTCAATTAATGAATCGAAATGCTTAACCAGGATTTTTATGTGTTATGGACAAGTAAGTTAGGCTGCTTCCTTCGATCACTGATTATGATTTGCCCTCGTTGTAATAAGAATTTGTAGTGAATTGCAGCTAATTGCTAACCAATTATATATGAACACTATAATGAAACACCGCCGCATCTAGCATTACAACTCATCGAAGTTTTTTTTTAAAACAAATTTAGCATGCTTGTGTATAGCAAATTGCCGTGCATATCTCCCCGAAACCCCTTGAAATTCATATCACGGCACCCAATCCACGAAAATGACACAGACAAAGCCAACCACAAACACCCATAACCGCCGTATCCTCGGATGCATCACGCTGTGAGGTCAGCCGGTCCAGTGCACATGTTACTCGTTGCCCATATGTTTGGATGTTTGGAGAAATTTATTTGAATCCAGCTCCATTAAACCTATATTGATCGAATGTTTTATAAAAATGGGTGCTTATTGCTAAGGTAGTAGTTTAATCCAACTCACAAATAGAAAGAATCTCAGAAAGGACATTTTTTTTTTACAATTAGTAATATTTGAAGCAAACTTGCTGTTGGATTCTCAATACTTTCTTTCAACTATTGATTGATAATGGAAAAATAAATTACACGTGCAAGCAATATTGTTCATTAATCACCATGAAATTAGGCAATAAAGTAGAAGCTACGTTAATAGTAAGTACTACTCAATAAAATAGATCTACAGAGATAAGTAAATTTAAACTGTTGCTAAAAGCAGAGATTAAGAGTCGGAGTTGCTAAATATATTCTATAGCTAATAAAAGCATTTAAGCCATCTCCTCTATACTTTCACAAGTCCTTTTAACCAATAACACCCGTTATTTTGATATTTAGCTTGGGCGATCACACCGATCATGTAAATAACAATTCCTTAACATTCAAATAGTGATCTCCATCGAGGACAGTATAAACAATTATATAATTGTAATATACACAATTTGAACATCCATTTGAGGGGATAGTGCCAAACAATCACAGTTTCCAGCACACAATTTTTCATTCAGCATTATAATCCTTCATCGTTCAATCTTCTATATTGAAATCAGTCGTTTAAAAAGTGGTTTTAATTTATCATTTCCACTTCTTTCTTTAATAATTACTGATATTCATTACTACTTATTAAACCACAAAACTTTTTCTTTTCAATCTTTTAACGATATTATTTCTACATGATGAAATGAAATCCTCCGTGAAATTAACTTGAGTTTGATATTTTTAGAACAATACCCTCTTCTTTTTTGGTTTCTTAATTTTTCACAATTACAAGTTTAGTGAATAAAACCTCATCGTCGATCACAATTTGACCATTTCTTGAAGCCGCTTCAAAAACTCCAATACTTTACCAAAACCCATAACTTCCATAACTATTACTATGACCTATATTTGCTCCCTTACATTCGTAATATTCGCAACATTCGCAGTATACATTCGTAATATGTTCTGGATTTTTCTTTATTTCAGTTTACTGTTCCATTCATGACTTAAATATATACATATATATGTCTCGATAAAATTCTGGCATAACTGTTTAATATACGTATGATTGTTTTATAAGACTTAGTTAGGTTGTACTAGTAGTAATAACGTGCAACATGTAATTTTATTAGATTATTAGCCCTACAAACGATATCAAACGATAACTTTTGATTGGTTACCAATAACGGTAAATCTAAATATGCTTGCATTAGCGAATCATCTATTTGTTAATATCATCAAATATACTAGCAGTGATTAAATAATACTTTTCTCCAATTTGATATCAGGTAAATTTCGAAAACATCATAGTGAGCAATCGATAACAAGCACTATAACACATTATAGGCTACATTAGAATCATGTGTTCATATTATCGAACATATCACATCCTTCACATAACATAGACCTAAATTCGACAACAGGAAAGTCTCGAGGTATCATAGCTACCAAATAATCAGTAAGATGGGACAGCTGCTAGCAAAATATGAACTTTAAACAATGCCATCCTATAATACACGATAACTGCTAACGTAAACATTGCTACGACAACGCCTAACCTAACCGGGTACGTAACAGAAGAGCCAATAAAGCCAAGAGGAGAAAGTAGAGAGGGCACTATGTGTGAATAATTTGAAGATGAAAAAGCCGCGCAATAGTAAAAGACGGCCTTGATGGCCCTGATGAGCGATATTACGAAAAGTAATTGACACTCCGGAATGATAACCGGATAAATGTTAAAAATTTTTTGATTGCTTTATTTTATCCGATAATGCAGTTGTGATTTTTGAATCAGGGAAAGATTTGGAATTGAGGGGGAGGAAAACTGGCAAGATTTGATTGATTAGAAATTTTGTGAAATATGCCTAAAACTATAAATGAAATAAATGAAAAAATATTCTTCAAAAGATTTTATTAACAAATTAAAAGAAAAAGTTGATGCAAAATCGTTGAAAAATTGTAAGTAATTAATATTGACTAATTAATATTAGTCAAGTTAGCTAGATACGTATTTTCTGACTTAAAATTTATCTTTCAATAATCGACAACATCGTTTTAGAAAAATTTAGAATTTTACTGGAAGAACATTTTGTTGTGGCATATTTCTTGGGTTTCAATAAGCGGATTCAAGGATGATTTTAAAGTCAAAAATTTTACTAACTGAAAACTTTGAATAATTTTGAACCTAAAAAATCTTTGCAATGATCGAGTGAGGAATACGTCTGAACAGGTTCGATTGATTAGTATTTAACAACAGTGATACTTATTTGCAAGTTCTTCGTTCATAGCATGCAAGGTTACTTATTTGTTATGTATGTACCGCCAGGAAATTTATTTATTCTAACAAAACAATAAAGTGGGAGAGATATGAGAATAACTTACATGCAACCAGTAACAATAATAACAGCGAGAAATACTAATTAATAAATAACGACACAAAAAAGACTGATGGAAAATATAAATAATTAACAACAACAGAAATAGCAATGCATACATTACTTTAAGTAAACTGTAAAGCACAAACTTTAATGATAGAGCATGTGCGATTTCAAGCTCTGTTTATTCATGAAACCCTTACTGCATACAGTGCAGTGATAGACAGGTCTATTCATGTTATGAGTTACCATGTGAGCCTGCAAATTGTACTTTTTTAAAAAACTTTTCCCGCATATAAGACAACTGCACGGCTTCTCACCAGTATGAGTCATCAAATGTTCTTTTTTGTTTATCACTTCCTTTTCACATAGATTACAGCGCCATTTCTTTCTTAGACGTTCTCTTTGCTTTGATGGTACCATTACTCTCATCAGTGTTTCAATTGGAACGAACTGTTGCCGTGGTTTAATTCCTTCATCATTCACTCCATCCACTGATAAGCCTTGCGATTCATTCCCTTCCTCTTTCAGTTTTGGAATTGATAAATCCAAGGGTTTTGTTTGAAACACTTGCAATCCAATTTCTTCATCACTCTCTTTTTGCATTGATAAGCCCTGTGATCCATGTCCGTCATCTCTCACTTTTGATATTGATAAATCCAACGGTTCTGTTTGGTTCGTTTGCGCTACCTCAAATGATATGAAATCATCAATTTCACATTATATAGGATTTTAAGTTTCCAAAATATTGCAGCTATGTCGCATTTTATTAACTTTAGGTGAACTTACAGTAGTTTGAATATTGCTTAATTGGAAGAAGAGGAAGAAAAAATGGATGAAATGCATGCCAATGAGAATAATTTTTTACCAATTCTGAAAAACATTCAAATATTCAAAAATTTCAAATTCATACGAAATAACACGGTTACTGTTTGACAAATGTGCAAAGGAGAAATTTGTCCAAGTAAATGTTTTTCTAAGTATATCAGATTATTTACAAAGTAATCATTGATTCCCAAATTCTTTCTCATAACTCAGAACTATGAAAAGTGATCATTCCCCACCGAAATAAATGAAGTAGAACTTGCTAGATGAATTTTATAAAAGCGAATTTGACACAGGTCACACGATTCTATAAGGGATTGTTGGAGAATCATATGTATAAATGCTTATTCATATGGGAGTGGTAAACTACGTGTATTGATAAGTTACATTCACGTATAATAATATATGTATAGTAATAATAATTGACTTGATAATATTATATGTAAAAATAGTCACTGTTTAATCCTTTATATTGAATTATTTCATTTTAGCTGCTATATTGCATTGTTGAAGATAATTTATGCAAAGCAGTTGTGATATTTTGTGTAATTTTATTTCATCATTTCGTTCCGATTTTTTATATTTTCAAATCTTTGAGAATATTAGCATGAATGGAAAACTACATTACTGAATCTCTTTTAACTAATAATACTAATTTATAAATACTAAATGATTTCATCAAATCTTTGGTTTCGGCTTCATTTTAAAACTTAATTTCCAAATTTGCTTTGTATGTATGTGTATAAATTAGGCTTATTCAATTTTTATACAGTCATCGTATACAACATATGATATAATGAACATTTTAAATAATGCATACATCCCTTGTTAACAGCTATAAAATTCTAAACAATGCAGATAGGTTCAGCTACAACTGGAAGATGAGTGTTGATAAATGATTGCTTAAATAATAGATTTTTGATACAATTTTATATTTGTGTAAAGAATATTCAATTAGTAAAATCTTTAATCTTATGGTCTAATGCTATTTTAACGAGGCATATTATAATTCGATTTTTTTCGACAAGTTATGTGCTGACAATTTGTTATATTAAGGTCAATTTCCGTAAAGAATATTTGAATAAAGAATTGTTCGATATTAATAATGCAGATAGACTCAGCCACAACTAGAATAAGTGAATAAGCTAGTGACAAAAAAAAGATTCAATTCAATTAATTGAAATTCATATTAACTACTTTCGACCAAGTATTGACTGGATGATAGGTTCGCAAAGTTCTACACTCAATAGACAGACGATTAAGCAACCCTTTAGAAATGTATATATTACATTATATGACTCATTATATATTACTTTAATTAGTAATATTATCAGATAAAACAATAAAGTTCACTCCGCCTTGAAAAAGTTTTGCTACCATTATGTTCTGTCTGCACATGATTAATACGTAACGGAAGATAACGTGGCCGTGCTAACATTATGGCCATTTCGGTACAAAAAATTCCGCGTGGTGAGAATGGTTCACTGAAAATTAATAACATTAACGGAATGATCTGTAAATTGTAAATTAGCTGTGATTTTACTTTATAATTTACTAAATAATCGGTGACTAGATATAGAAAAAAGAAAAAATTTTGAAACTTTCACTTAAAAAGGAAAGCTGAAAGTAAAAAAGTAAATAGTATGTCTTACTTGCACTGAAAACATATGCTGGCTGTGGTACACAAGCTGATGGCATCTTTAGTGCCCGTTCATGATGTATTAGCAAACCTGACCTGATATTACTTCCAGTATAAATCCATTATCACTAGTAGCAGCTGCGGCGTCATAATTATTGACTGTAAAATTTTTTGCTATTTCAACTTCATGAACTTTTTAAAGTTTGTTAAATTGTCAAAAAATTGCTACTACAAAATTTTATTTAATAGAGATATTAATCAGAAATATTCCCTTAGCAAAACGATATGTATAGTGTTTAATATAGTAAGTGTCATTTTTTTAATTAAATGAATAAATTTTTTATTAGCAAAAATTGAGCATGCTTTTATTTTTTATCGTTATAATTTATTAATTAAATAATCCATTGATTAATGGTTTCGTGTATTATTTGATTGTATGAAAAGAAAAGATCTTACTTACTCTGTCTGCCATTTGTGGCAGTAATAATTTAAAATTAAATATCAGTGTATTTAGCAATTGAGTCTTATTTCAAATAATATATACAGGTATGAATATATACCATATAATCCTGTTGAAATGAACCTCAGTAGATAATATATTTATTACTGTTACATTACTATTACAAGTATCTGTTTTTGTTTATAACCAATATTTTATCATCAATTTTCCACTAATTAATATTTAACACTCAGAAATTTGCAAAATTTGAAATTTCCCTAAATTTAAAAATCATAAAAAAAATAAATTTAGAAACCATAGAAAAAGTATTGATTGATAATTGCTTTAAAAAAAAAGAGAATGAAATTTTTGAGGAATCACTTTTTTTAAAAAAAATTAATAGTTTTTGATTTTTCCAAGCAAAAAAAAGAAAACAAAAGAAACAAAAATTTTCGCCAAAAAGAAGATTACAGTTAAAAAGAAAATTACTTCGGAAACTAATGCAACAAGTAATTTTACTCGGGGACTAATGTAGCAAATATTTTTAATTCGAGAACTAATGCTTGTGAAATGGTTTTAACATCAACTGGATGAAATAACTCCCACAAAAAAATCTCAGTGCTTAACTATGCATTATTGATTTTTCATTTTGTAAGCAATGATAGCAAAGGCAAAAGAAAGGAATCAGTTTAGAACATTCTGCGATTTACTGATAGATATATTGACGTTATCGCTGAATATAATACAACAAAAAGAAGGAACTTTTTTCACCGAATTTATTCATTTTAAAGTAATAAAAAGCTAGCTAATACTGTTATTCATTGATATGAATTGAATGTTGGGTTAGATTATCAAATATCCTAATTAAGTGGAAGTTTAATGCAAATAAAACAATTGAAATAGAATTTCGAATGTAAATAGACAAGTGAAATAAATTGATCTTTTTGTATAATTTCATAACCTTACAGATATATAACTTTATTGAAATGTTATGGTTGAGATTCTTTTCTTTCCCAAAAATTTACTTCCATGTTACTTATGCAGTAATCGAGCGAGGAATACAATTGAGTAATTTCCCTTCATTAGTATTTAACAGTGGTACTTATTTACAAGTTCCTCGTTCATAGCATGCAAGGTTACTTGCTTGTTATGTATGTACTGCCAGGAAATTAATTTATTCTGATAAAACAAAAAACAAAGAAGTACATAAAAAGGTATGCAATGACACAATATACATACAAAACCAAAAGGCATGCAATGAAAAAGACAGCGAAAGATAATAATTGATATATAAGAATAGGTGACACAAAATTGACTGATAAAAAATATAAATAATCAACAAAACAGAAACAGTAATGTGTATTTCTTTTATTTAAAGTGTAAAGTGCAAGCACTAATGCTTGAGCATGTGCGATTTCAAGCTCTGTTTATTCATGAAACCCTTACTGCATACAGTGCAGTGGTAGACAGGTCTATTCATGTCATGAGTTACCATGTGAACCCGCAAAGTGTACTTTTTTAAAAAACTTTTTCCGCATATCGAACAGTTGTACGGCTTCTCACCGGTATGAGTCATCATATGTTCTTTCATATGTACAGACTGAATAAAATTTTTTTTGCATATCGGACAACTGTACGGCTTCTCACCGGTATGTGTCAACATATGCATTTTCATATTCCCGAACTGAGTGAAATTCTTTTTGCATATCGAACAACTATACGGCTTCTCACCGGTATGAGTCATCATATGTCTTTTCATATCAATGAACTGGGTGAAATTCTTTTTGCATATCGAACAACTATACGGCTTCTCACCAGTATGAGTTATCATATGTACTTTCATATTTGCTATTTCCTTCTGACATACATTACAGAGCCGTTTCTTTCTTAGGCATTCTCTTTGCTTTGATAGTTCCACTACTTCCATCAGTGTTTCGATTGGAACGAGCTGTTGTCGCAGTTTAATTCGTTCATCACTCATTCCCTCCACTGATAAGTCTTGCGATTTACTCCCCACCTCTCTCACTTTTGATATTGATAAATCCAGGGGTTCTGTTTGGTCCGTTTGTGCTGCCTCAAATGATATGAAATTATCAGTCTCACACTGCGCAAAAAAAAAATTTAAACCTTTTGGTATTGCAGCGCTATGTTGCATTTTATTAACTTTAGGTGAACTTACAGTAGTTTGAATATTGCTCAATTGGAAGAAGAGGAAGACGAAATAGATGAAATGCATATCAATGAGAATAATTTCTTGCCAATTCTGAAAAGCACTGAAATTTACTGACCAGTTACGCATAAATAATATCGCTGCTGTTTAACAAATATACAAAAGAGAAATTCTTTCAACTAAAAGCTTTTCTAAATATGTTAAATTATTTACAAATTTATGATCGAATCCCACAATTCTTCTCATAAGACAAAACTCTGGAACGAGGATGACATCCTCTGTCGAAATAAATGAATGAAATTTGTTGAAGTGAGTTTGACAAAAGCCATCTGATCACTTCTGTTAAGTGTTGCTGGAGAATCGTATGTATAAAAATGGTAATTCAGATGGAAATGGCAAACTACGTGTATTGACGTTAATAATAGAATATAAAATAATATAATAATAATAACCATTGTTTAATCTTTTATACTAAACTGTTTCATTTAAGCTCATATATTGCATTGTTAAAAATAATTTATGCAAAGCAGTTGTGACATTTTTTGCAATTTTATTTCATTTCACTTCAGTGTTTCCAGATTTTCCAAAGAAGTTTCAGACTTAATTTTCAAATTTGCTTTGTATGTATATGTGTAAATTAAGCTTATTAAATTTTTTACGGTCATCGTATATAACATATAATGTGATAAAGTTAGCTGTCAAATGAATACCAATTGAAAAAAAAAAAAAGACGGCGGTAAAGTCCTATCAGTTACTGATAGTAATCAGCAACGTCGGTTCCGTCCAATAACTGTTGCACAATGTCGGGTTGGCATCACTTGAAATGCTGAACCAGAAGTTATCGGTTCGCCATCTATGGCTATGTAACCGCCAGAATTGCCTAATGGCTCTACACGACAAGCTCGGACTGGAACTATCTGCAATTCCTCATTGTAAAACTCTTTCAAAATTAAAGGTACTAAACAAGAATCGTAAGAAGGTACATATTTTGCATATGTCCTTATCATTTTCTTTAATTGAAATTTAAACAAATTCAAATAACCTGCAAAAAAGAATAAGTCAAATGTGAGCAGTCATTTATTCCAAGCATCATTTTGGCAAAATCAAATCGTGATTTAACATTGCTCCAATCGACATATGTTAAATATAGGAAGTCATCATCCAAACGAGCACATGGAAGATAAGGCACATCACTTCCTGAATTACGAATAAAAAATGCTTTTAATAATCGTCTTTCATTCTCTTTCTTTTATCGAATGAATATCAACATAAAATGTAAAAAAGATTCATTTTGCTTGTTTCCGGATATAATTTTCAAATACACTTAATACTAATGATTTTATGCATGATAATTTCCTGTTACAATCAATCGCTGTTACTTTTTCGAATGACGAACTATTCGTCATCAATGATTGAATAAGTTAATGACTAAAAATGACATTTAATTTAATTAACTGAAATTCATATTAAGTATTTTCGACCAAATATCGACTGTCGGATGACTATCGACTATCGGCAAATTGTCAGTTAATGAACAGACGATTTAACAACTTTTTAAAAATAAATTAATCCATCCATCATTTAATGCCTAATGAGCAAACATCTAATGTACTAAAAATTTATTCCGAAAAAAAAAAAGACGATGAAAATGTATATCAACTTCAGATTTCGGAATGGACGAAATTGAAGATGTTAAGGAAGAACTTACCCAAATGAGAAAGGCTTGTCAAACAAACGTAAACGAAGTAACCTTCTAGCATATTCCAATCAGATCCAACCGGTTCACAAAGCGGAGGCATCTACGGATTTTTTTATTTTTATTAAATTCTAGAGAATTATTTATATTCAGTTTAATCTGACGAAAGAAAAAAAAAATAAAAAATAAAGAGATGCTAAATTTGGACAACAAAATGTTTAACCTTTAATAAAAAATAAGATCGGATAACTGAGAAGCAACATTTCTTTGTAACCAATAAATTGAATTTGACTACTGATTCCAACTGTTATTTGTTATTAAGAAATGTTTTCATTTCAAACCAAATTTTAAATTCTTTCTTGATTGTTTTAGAAAAATCTTTAATCTTTGTATTTACACAGCACTCCACATTTCACTCCCTTCTTTCACGTTGATTTGAACTGATTGGTTTCAAACAATCAGGAATAAAACGTTATACTTGGACAAGATTATCGCTTCTAAAAATATCCGAGAAGCTATTACTGATGCTACCACCTTCACTGCCTTCATGATCTGTGAAATTCTCAACGGGTCGATATTCAAAATGACCTTTGGTATAGTTTTCTAAATCATTCCTGAAATCATTTAGTCTTCCTTCTTGTAAAATAAATTATTGTGATAATAGCTTTTCATCATATATTATTTTATGATTAGATAAAGCAATAAAGTTCACTGCCCATTGAAAGCTTTAATATTAAATGCTAACCCAACTTAGCAAATAATAACAGTTTAAACAAAGGCTAAATATTAAAACTCTTATGTTTGAGTCAAAGTTCATATTTAAAACAGTGAAAAATTCATTTTGATTTTTAAAAAGAAATTTCTTGAGCAAAAAAAGAAAACAACTAAAACAAAGAACAAAAAACTACCATAATTTTGCCGGGCACTGCAAAACATTACCAAGAACTGGCAAATATGAAATCCTGCCTTTATAGCGAGCAACATGCGGTAATTCTGGAAAGCGATCGTGTCAAATTGAACTGATTTTCTTTAAAGGATAAAAAAAAAAAATAATAATTGAAATCGATGATTTGTCATCTTTTCGTCTTTTTTTTAATGCTAAAGAATAACTTGCTACTCGCAGAAAGGCTTCCATATGCAGTCGTGCCATACCTGCCCAACGAAAACGTTCACTTCCGATATCTTCAATTTGCTAACATTAATTAAACAACTTCACATGGATATACACAAAGAATTTGATGAATAATTTGATTTTAATTTAACAATAATGAAACAAACATATCACTGCCCACTTTATTAATGACACATGTTGTAATCAACGAATCATATATTATAAGAATTGTATGACTAAAAATTTATAATCGTATTTTTTACTATAGAATATTCTGCCTCATATCGATGAAACCTACGATATATCTAATAGAGTATTTAACATATTTATCTATTAATGCCCTAAATTACTTTTTTTTTTATTAAATGAATCACAGTATGTGATGAAATATTTCACGTTATAATCATATAAATGATATTTACGGTTTTTTAAAATATTCTAAAGCTTGCATTGGAAAAAAAAAAGAGTATCAAATGATACATAGGACACAACAATTAATTTGAAATCAGCGAATAAAAATGAAGTGAAACGAACCAATATCAGCAATAAGACCCCATGTAAGCGACATGAACATCGCTTTGCTACCATCATGTTCTGTCTGCACATGATTAATACGTAACGGAAGATAACGTGGCCGTGCTAACATTATGGCCATTTCGGTACAAAAAATTCCGCGTGGTGAGAATGGTTCACTGAAAATTAATAACATTAACGGAATGATCTGTAAATTGTAAATTAGCTGTTAACGGTAATTTCACTTTTTAGTTTGTTAAATAAAGCAATGAGCGATTAGATATAGGAAAAAGATTTCAACATTTTCATTTAGAGAAAAAAAAAAACTGAAAATAAAAGTGCAAATAGTATGCTTTACTTGCACTGGAAACATATACTGGCTGCAAGTCCATTACTTGTACCACCAGGTATATGAGCTAATGGCATCTTTAGTGCTCGTTCACGATCCTGACGCATTAGCAAACCTGATATTACTTCCAGTATCAATCCATCACCACTAATAGCAGCTACAGCGTCATAATTATCGAGTATAAGATTTTTTGCTATTTCAACTGCATGCTTCCGATGAACTTGAAATTTTTGAAAGTTTATTAAATTGTCGAAAAATTGCTATTAAAAAAAAAAAAAACTTTAGTAAAAATTGATTGATCCAATCAGCAAATTAAAAAAAAAAGAAACTGTATAATTTTGATAAATTTATAGACAAAAGAAAAAAGAGAGTAAACAAAAATGGAAAGAAACTAATGAACTTGTTTTAACAATATCATAATCAATGTTGGCAATTTTTAAAATTGGTTCAACATGTGTTTCCCATAATTTCAATCCACGTTTCTGGCCACTGAAAGGATTAACAATAACCAATATATGGCGACGTGGCCTTATAACATAGGTGATTAGATGTGCTGCAAGTTGATAAATTGATAAATCGTGATTTATTTTTTAAATTACAAATTTTTATTGCTAAGTTATATTAAGGTAAAATATTGGTCTGTTACTTTTTTTTTTTTTCTAACATTATTACCACATAATCCTATTGCGGTAGACGATATATCTGTTATTATTATTATTACAAGCTACCTGTTTTCGTTTATAACCAATATTTTATAATCCATTTTCCACTAATTAATATTTAGCATTCTGAATTTAAAAATGATAAAAAATTTACATACGTGCTTTTGCTGCTGTAATTTTTGTGGCAATGAATTTATCAGCATATTTTGCTGTATCTTCACAACTAAAAGTTAAAGTAACTCGAACAAAACGACGTCGTTTTTTAATGACAGGATAAATTATTAAAATAAGCTGCCATTCGTTTATCCCATTAACAATCTCTGAAATAATTTTGTTGATGAATTGCTATTTGAAAAAAAAAAAAAAAAGTTATGAAATTAAATAAGATCAAATGATATTTTACAAGATTACTATAATTTAATCATTATTTCTAGCTTTTTTTATAACCAATAAAAATTTAGGATTTTGTTATTATTCTAAGGTTAAAATTTTTTATTTATATCTTAAATTAAAAATTCAATATTTTATTCGTAAACAGCTCAATTAACAGGATAGAAGTGATAAGCCTAATAATATAATAATTGAATTTATGAAATGAAGTAAAACGAAAAACATTAGACAATTGTGTGTCATTAACTCAAGTGGAATGCAATTGTTCATTATTTCTTTTCATGCATTCATTCCATTTATGTATACATTCAAAAGTTCAAGTTTAATACCATTTATAGTATTTTTTCTTCTTACATTATAATGAAGTGATAGAATGATATTTTATGAAATTGTTCAAAATGTTGCAATTTCAAATAAGTTAATATGATGATACTTTAAAAAAAAAAAAAAGTAATTCTCATCATTTTCTCTTTTTTGTTAAAATGAAATTAAAAGAAAAAAGAAATGAAATAAGTAAAAGCATACGATTTTTTGTGCATTTTGACATTAAAATGTCATCATATTTCATCGGCATGAAGCAATTTTCGGTAAATTTAAGACGTATTTCATCATTACTTTGTAAACATGCATCTATTTTATATCGTTTTTTGTTGATATGAACGAAATTATTAATTTCATATACCAAATCATTTACTAAATCCTTGTATGGCACGAAATCATTATAATTAATTTTTGACGTTCCTGCACCCATTCCATTCGTTTATGATAGACCAATGATTGTAGTAGTATGACTCTAAGTAAAGTAAATCCATAAAGTTACTTCTAAATAGATTTACAAAAAAAAAAACTTATAAAAGTGAATTGTAACTTTCAGATGATCCCTACTAAGAATTCTATTTGTTTACAAAGCATTTCCTAATCACAAAATGAATTTTGCAGAAATTCTTTGAAATTAGCAAGGGATGAAAAATTTTTTGCTTAATTTCAAAAAAGCAAAGAATACAATCAAAAAAAAAAAAAAAAGGGAGAAAAAAATATGCTAATAACAGGAAACAAAAGTGAAAATGGGAAAAAAGCTTTGTACAGTATTGAAAAAAAACAAACGAATTAGCATGACAAATTATAAACAATATTTCATTGTTGACATTTTAATTTGAAAAAAAAAAAATTTTTTTTTCATTTATTTGAAATAAATCATAAATATTATTTCAAAATATTATTTGATATTTTGAGTCTTAAAATGCCAAATATTATTTATTAAATTAACAATAATTATTAATATTAGTATAATAAAAATAATTTTGAACAAGGAATCATCGGTTTTCTTTCTTTTTTTTGTGATTGAATTTATACTGAATATAAAAAAGGAGAAAAATGCTTGAAAATTAAATACTTTAGTTATATAATCAAAAGAATTATCTGAGAGAATTTTAATCTCTGAAAAACAAACAATACTCATTTATGTTACAATTTTTGCTAAAATTTAGTTGAACGATTTTCTTTTTTTGCTAAATTAATTAGAAATTGAAAAATTAACCAAACATTGTACGGGAAATTTTGATTGTTTAATTATAGTATCAATTGGTTCAATTCTTTCTTAAAAAAGCAAAAAAGTAATTTTTCAAAAAAAAAAAAAAAAAAAAAAAAACTTCATTGAGTCAAAAAAGAAAAACAAATGAAACGAAATTTTTTACCTAATGTAGCAAATATTTTTAATTCGAGAACTAATGCATGTGAAATGGTTTTAACATCAACTGGATGAAATAACTCCCACAAAAAAATCTCAGTGCTTAACTATGCATTATTGATTTTTCATTTTGTAAGCAATAATAGCAAAGGCAAAAGAAAGGAATCAGTTTAGAACACTCTGCGATTTACTGATAGATATATTGACGTTATCGCTGAATATAATACAACAAAAAAAAAAAAGTGAAATGTTTGGCAATTTGAATGTTAACCCATCATTATTGTATAAATGCGCAAAATGTCGCAGAAATATTTCTGCACTAAAGATTTTAGATATAATATTTTTGTCTTAATGTCTTTTCATTTTTTTTTCTTTCAACAATTTTCTTGATTCGTTTTATTTGTCAAATTGTTTTATTTGGATGAACTTTTCTTTTCTCTTTCTCTTTCGCTTTTTTTTTAAATATTATTCTTTTGATATTATTTTTAATTCGTTGTTCTTACTAAAATATTACTTTTAGATTCGTTGTTATCATTATTAAATAAAAAGTATTTAAGGTATTTATGTAAAATTTTTAGTCTTTGTTAGCTGTCATGGATTGTTTGTTATTGGTTGTTGTTTTCTCTTTAAAATTTTCATTATTGTTTGTTATTATTGACTAAAATTTTTATCTTTCAGATCGCTTATCTTTTTTTTTCAACTGTTGTAAGTAAACACACATACACACACATACACACACACACACACGCATACACACACATACACACACACACACACACACACATATGCAACTATTTGTAGTATATGTATAAAATTTGCACAATGAAAAGTTATTAACAATAAAACAAAAATGAAACTAAAAATTTCACTTTTTTTTTGCTTTGCTACTCTGATTGTTTCAATTGATCGCAGTCTCAAAAACACAATACGCTAACGAATTTCTAGTAGATCTGTATAAGTTATACGAATAGCTAGTAGTAATGATTGTTATTGTAGGTTTTATCAAAAAAAAAAATGATTCCAAATATACGCTACATCGGGAATTATGACATAAATGCTGAAGGAAAATTTCTTTGGGAGATCCTTTGTCAGTTGCGAAATCTTGGAGTTGGAAGGATTGTAACAAAGAATGAATGGGCGAGAAAATGGCCGAAACAACCATCTTACCTAAAAATTGTTCAGGTAAAAGGGATGAATTGTTGAAGGTATAAAATTAATAGAAATAGGGAAGATATGTCGAAGATTTATTTTGATGGTATTTACCTCCTTTTATTTAGAGTCACAATTAATTGACCGTTAGTTAAATTTCTCTGATATAGTAATTTCCTAGTTCTGAATGTTAGTGGAAAAATGAAAGTTGTCAGAGAATTAATTTTTTGTCAACGCATTGAAAAATTCGTTCTTTTTTTTTTGGTTGAAATTTGATTTTTAGGCTTGTCCAAGTATGGATCGTTGGTTACTTCGGGGAAAACTTTGGGCAGATTGGACTTTTAGAGGCATTAATTTAGGTTTATATGAGTTTAGTGCCGACTTGGCACGCTCAGGTATGTCACAGCTATTTTTTCTTTTTTGAAAACTGTCCATTTTGGCAATTTCCCTGCCGTCTGTTAAATTCAGAATTCTATGTTTTTCATTTTCAGTTCTGTGTCATCTTAGCGAGGCCATTGTTCACTTTCAAATACCATGGAGTCATTCTTGAAATTAGAAGGGCATTATAAATAAATTGAAGTGAATTCACAGTTAATTTAATCATTATTCAGTTTCTTTTTGTACAGATTGGCGTTTAATTCACAAGCACGAGGAAGATGAATTCATAAAGTGTGACAGTCCTATGAAACCAATCGAGTATCCGAAGACGATGCCACTTCCTCCTTATCTTGTGTGTTATTAGCCTTTGAAGATTTGTTTCAGTACATTCAGAACTTTTTACTTGTGTCATAGGTTTTAAATTAATTTAAAAATTGATGTTTTCTTCTGACGAAAGTATTGCTAACAACTTTCCTTCTTTGTCCACAATTTTTTTTTTTTTTTTCAATGAAACTACTTGAAACCAAAATTTGTCAAAATATGACAAAAACGACATTCCGTAAAGTGAAATTTAAACAACTCTTCCGAATACTCGTAACCAAATTTCGCCATATATAATTACATGCTTCTTAATGCAAAATGGAAGTTTCCCATGAAAAGATTTCAGCGAGCTGTATGTGAAAACGGTGATGTAGTAAGGATGGAGGAAAAACGGATAGATTTGGATTTATGTTTGGACCCTCAATTTGGCATGATTAAACACCTTTTCAAGAAGGTCTGCTTAAATTTAATTTATGTTTCAGTTTTTTTTTTTTTTTTTTGAAATTTCGGCAGTAAAGTTTCTTTTATATTTTTGCGATTTTGTGGATTAATTTCGTAATTCACTATTCAGTTATATGATTGAACTTCCATTTCGTCGAATGAAGTGTTGCAGGTTGAAACGGCACATGGAAATTCTATTTATGATGAAACAAGACCGGAAATTTGGTTAGATTTATATGGTGATGAAATGCCAACAAAAGTGGAGGCATGGACTGTTGGTCCGGCAGAGTTACGGCCCCATTTTGACAATTCTGTTCCGACGCCTTGTCCTCCAGAGTTGGATAACATGTCATTGCCTGAATTTAAATTCGATTTCTCAGAATTAGAAAGTATTAAGGATGTTGCAGATAGCGAAAATTCGGATAAGATTAAACATTCGTAAAATTATTTAGTCCTTAACGAAAGAAGCTAGGAATAACACTGTATTACTTAGCTATTAAGTTAAAGGAAATAAAAAACAGAGAATAACTAATAATAATGACTATTACGCTGTTTGGAGCATAAATAACAATTCGAAAGTAGGTGACGTTGAGGTCAGTAGTACATGCATTAATATTTCCATAAACTAAATCTAATAATATCTCCAAGTTTCTGTCCTCTCTTCTCACATTTATTTTCGAGTTGTTATTTCTTCCTCTGTTTTCATCTTTCATTGAATTACTTTCCTCCAAATACTTCTAAAAATTTTTAAATATAGTATTAGCTCTATTGAGCTGTATTGTGTATAAATTGTAGTATGTTGCTGAATAAAGCATTGATGTGTGTATCTTTATTACTTTTTTTCTTTGTTAAGCTGAAGCTGTAATTGCTGTTAAGCGCTAATAATATATCTGTGATAATTATAGATTACTTAGAGAATATTTGTAATCATTTCAATAGCTATATATGAAAAATAGCAATTTAGGTACCATAGTATTAGTATTCAAAGTTTCTCTTTTTTGATTTGGTTGGAACTTTCTAAATTCACGTGCGTAACCTATATACTCAATTCAGTTGTATAATATCAATAAATTTTTTTTTTTTTTTTTTGTTCAGGTGGCTTTAATTTCAAACCATTGGACACAGAAATGGTGGAACCAGTTAAAATGATATTGGTGACAGGTGGTGTCATCAGTGGTGTTGGCAAAGGTATTATCTCATCTAGTTTAGGTGTACTGCTTAAAGCTCATGGTTACCGGGTTTCGTTCATTAAAATTGATCCATATATTAACATCGATGCTGGTACATTTTCACCTTTTGAACATGGTAAGGATTTCAAATTGCATTTTTTAACAAAATCAAAAAATAACAGTAGTGACATCTGGTTGATATGTTTAACTGTAAATGTACTTTTATTTGAAGAAGCAAGATGTCACCAGTAGTTTTATAGTGATAAACAAATGATATAACTTCTTGTCTTACTACGAATGATACGTCAACTTTATTATAGGCGAAGTATTTGTTTTGGATGATGGTGGTGAAGTTGATTTGGATTTGGGTAACTATGAAAGATTTTTGAATATTCGTTTAACACGTGATAACAATATTACAACTGGCAAGATATATCAGCAGGTTTTCACATTGTAAACATCTATTTTCAATGCGATACTTTCTGGATTAGATGGACTTTATAACTGTATAGAAATATTTCAAGAAAAGCCTGTGGAGAGAATTTTTAGAAAGAATTCATATCAAATATTCATCATATATTTATAGGTTATCGAACGTGAAAGACGTGGTGATTATTTGGGAAAAACGGTGCAAACGATACCACATATAACAAGTGCAATCATTGAATGGGTTGAACGTGTTGCAGCAATACCAGTTGATGATACTGATCAGCGACCGGAAGTTTGCATTGTTGAAGTATGATAAATCCATCCGTTTTCACAATTCATTCGTTAAAATTTCTTTTTAATCGAAATTATTCTTAAAAATTTTGATTAGAAAGAACACAATCAAGAAAGAATGAAAATGAAAAATTGTATAACTGTTTCAGCTTGGAGGTACCATTGGTGACATCGAAAGTATGCCTTTTGTTGCTGCTTTTGAAAAATTCCAAAGACCTGCATTCAAAGATCAGCTGATGACAGGTTTTTTAATTTTGATATGAATTTAAGAACTAGTCAGAATTAAATCTTACTATTCTTTCTTTCTTATCACCATTTTAGATGATCGTTTACTGTACAACTATTGTTTGCAGTGCATGTTTCTGTAATATTGGAACCGAAAAGTACTGGTGAGCTAAAGACGAAACCAATGCAAAATAGCATGCGCAATTTACGAGCCAGTGGTCTGACTCCAGATTTGTTGGTTTGTCGAAGTGAGCGACCATTGAATAAAGCATTACGTGAAAAAATTGCGGCGTTTGGAATGGTTGAATTACAACAGGTAAAACTTTTTTTTTAATTTTATACCAGAGGATCATCTTGTTACTGGTAGAAATAAGCTCAGTTGTACAGATCATTTTGTTTTAGGTGATTGGTGTGCATGATGTCTCGAATATTTACAAAGTACCACTTCTGCTTCATGAGCAAAATGTATTAGAAATGATTGTCGAACGATTAAAATTAACAGCAGTAAATGCTGAAGGCACGCTAATACTAAAACCAAATCTTTTCCAATGGATACACCTCTCTAATCTGTTAGTCTGATTTTTCTTAATTTCAATGATATTGATTAACTGAGATTTATTTTTATGGATTTTAATTAAGATAATGGCAAAACAAGTGAGTGATGATAAATATCAAGATAGGGAAAATAATTAATTTAGATATCCCAGTAATTGTTTAAATGATTTTGTAGTTGCGATAGTTTTCATGAAGAAGTTCGAATTGCATTAGTTGGAAAATACGTACAAATCCCCGATGCATATGCATCATTGAACAAAGCTCTTCGACATTCTGCAATTCATGCTAAACGACAGCTTGTTATTTCGGTAGATTTATGCTTAAATTATTTTTCCTCCTTACTACTCAGGAAAACTTTAACTGCTCTAAAGTATTAGTTGTTCACTTTTATACTTAAACTTTTAATTACTAAACTATTTATTATTCATAGCTTATCTTTTTCCTGAATAAAAGAATTACAACAGAACTCAGACACCAGTTTTGAACCAATCATTCCATTTTATTTTATGTACTTGTGTCGATTAAGTTCTTCACTATTGACAAGAAATTTTAATGAATAAGTTATGGATTAGTGGTCACATATGATCTAAATACTATCGGGATATGATGCTTTGTTGAGTGTCGTAAAGGATTTTTTTTTTTTTTTTTTTTTGAGTATAAAGATGCAATCCTTTTGTTTTGAGTGGCAAGATGAACTGGAATAAAATTTTTATTAAAAAGCATTGTAATATAGTTAATTGTCGGAGAATATTAGAATAGATAAATTGTATTTCTTTTAAATTTGGTTGAGATTTTAAATTGTAGCGTTAGTGAAGAATGTTCATGTGAGGTTTGAATCTGAGCCAATTTATTTTCTAGAAAATGTTGTAAGAAAAAGGTTGCTACTTTTTATGTAGTAGAAATGTTTGCAACAAGACGAAGTTCTTATAACATTCTGAAAAATACAGAAAGAGCTAAGTGAACGGAGAGATGTTCGTGAAAGGAGAACTAATTACAGTTTGATATAAAATTAATTGTCAGGTCGAAATTATTTATATGTAAATTGGTTTACAGTATTTAAACATTCAAGATAAGCTTGATTGTTGAAAATAAGAATAAAAGTTGGATAAAAAGATTTCTTACATTAAACATAGAGACGTTTATTTTACACTCATTTTTTTATAAATCATAAAGAAATATTCTGAATTAAATAATTCTGTAATATATTCTGAATAATTCTTCAATAAATTTATAGATGTAAATTTATTGAATTATTCCCAAACATTTTTGAAGTGATTTTAAAATATTATAAGTTATTCTAGTTTTTACCAGCAATAAGAACGCATATTTCAAATTATCTGTCTCATATTACACATCTTTAGTTCCAAACGTCAATGTTATCATAAACACATATTTCATAGATGAATTAAATATGGTTGTTAAATTGAAAGAGTAATATTTATATTTTAATATATTTCAAGTGCTCGATGTGACTGTGTGGCATACATTCTTTTGCAGTATATTCATTCGGAACATCTTCAAGAAATGAATGATTCATCACATACAACGAATTATAAACGTGCATGGGAGACGATTAAACAATGCCAGTAAGTTTTATTTGTTTTCTTATATGCTAATAACTCATCTTCCTGTTGTCATCTTGGTACTTCTACTAGAAATTTGAACGTCATTATAAAACCAAGTCTATTCAATTAATGAAATGAAGGTGGTAATGCAATTACATTGCAAACTTTCTGAAAGAATCATATGTCACTGTGAAACTATACCGTTTGGTTCACCCGCCATTTAGGTTTTTGGTGGTTCCGATCGCCCAGTCTTAACCGGTTATCACTACGGTGGATTGTTGGTTTTGTTCGGAGCTTCCTGTTTGCAGGTCCTGTCCATTTCTAGTCATATGACTTTCCCCAGTGGACCGTTTCTGTATCTAATTTCTAATAACAATTCCTTGGTAATATAAATGATGATTATGTCTCATTTACCTGCAGAAGTGTGTAAACATGTTCTTTATTGTTGTTGCAGACTAAGAAAACGTTTAATAATTGCAAATTGCGATTACCCGCCGAATATTTTTTAGCTTTATTATGCCATCATATAGTAATGTTCTTTTTCATCATCATGAATTTGAATAGTTGTATAATTTAATTGTAATTTTAGAGGTATAGTAGTGCCGGGCGGATTTGGTGGTCGTGGTGTTGAAGGAAAAATTGCAGTGTGCAAGTATGCACGAGAGAATAATATTCCATTCTTAGGTTTGTTCTACATCATTCTTGACTTTATCTGTTTAAATATTTTAATTTTTGAATTAATAAAATGCACTGTTTTTATGATCTACTAGAGCACTATTTTCAGCATTTATTAATTTTTTAGGAATTTGTCTGGGTATGCAATGTGCTGTAATCGAATTTGCACGAAATGTCTGCGGTATCAAAGGTGCTAATTCGACAGAATTTGACATGACAGTTGTCGGAGAACAACAGGTAGATGATAAATTTTAACTGCTTGGGCTATAATAACGAGATAAAAAGAAAGATGTGGCTTTTTTTTTTCGGAAATAATGCTTATCTGAAATTGGAGAATGAGTTTTCTCACACATCAAAAAGTTTCTCTTTTGATAAAGTTTTTCCTTCTGATCGATTTTGTTTTTTATTGTTATTTAGCTTATTTATACATGTTTTACCGAAAGTATAAAAGTGTGTAGACATTCTTCTTAAGAACATAATTTAAATGCACACTGAAAGTTCTAATATTTTAAGGTAGTAATCGATATGCCAGAGCACAAAGGTAACGAGAAAGGTATGGGTGGTACAATGCGTCTTGGTTTAAGGGATACAGTTTTCCTGACGGGAAACTGCAAATTACGTATGTCTTTATCAGACGTTCTCTTATAGTCTATGTTTTTTTATCTCTGTTTTGTTGCAATATCAGAATCAAATAAATTTAATTCTGGTTTAAGTTTTTAGGAAAATTATATGATGCAAGAAAAATCAGTGAACGTCATCGGCATCGTTATGAAGTTAATCCTAGAGTTGTTTCGAAACTTAGTCGAGCTGGTCTACTGTTTGTTGGTAATTTTTATCAGTTTGAGTTGTTCTGCAAAAATTGCATTGATGAGAGGAAAAAACCTAAACCGAACTTCATAACTAAAAGTTTTTTTTTGTCATTTAGGTATGGGAGCAAATGAGAATGCGGCACATATGAATGGGAAGGTATCATCATATGCTACACTGGTGAAATTAACTGAATGTGAAACTTCGAAAATCATGGAGGAAAACAATACGCAAGAAATGTACGAAATCTCTGAGCGAGTATGCTGTAATGTCCATTTCATTAGACTGTAATGTCGTAGCATAATGATGTAAATGATGAATTCGACTGATTCATGATATGATCATCGATCATACTCAGTGTATTTCAGGAAGTTTTGCTGTCAAAAATTGAAGACTTATGTGGAACTGGAAATGATGAAACTGATATAACATCTGTACGTATGGAGATTTTTGAATTGCAAGGTTTGTCTTCTTCTTTCATATCAGTCACATTTGGAGCTTTTCTAGAGGGAATTTCACATTTTAATGTATGGTATATTGCATTAATTTCACTTTTCAACATATTTTGATCCTTGAATCTAGCATTAAAATTATAAGTGTTTCTGATATTCATTTAGGTCATCCATATTTTGTTGGTGTCCAGTTTCATCCGGAATATCTGTCGCATCCTCTAAAACCAAGTCCACCACTTTTTGGCCTAATCTGTGCAGCTTCCGGACAACTAGAAAGTTTTCTTCGTGGTTCCAAGATACCTACACCAGTGAACATCTTGAAAGCAGCAGAGAATTACGTGAGTGTACATATTCTATACTATATTATTGTTTGAAATCTGTTCAGGAAATGAACATAGAATCATCGCTACTTTTAAGCACCACTGTATTTATCAGTATGTCTATTTTTCGTTTAATATATCTCGAAATTTTTGAATTTATTATTTTGAAGATTTATAGTAAACTGAAGTAGTAAATGGTTAAGGCGAATATTGAGATGGCTGACTTTGTAATCTAACTTTTAATTTAATGTATCAAAAAAAAAAATTATTAGATGCACACGTAGCAGTTTTAATGAATAGTTGTGTCAAAATGACTAGGGTTATAATTGCAGGGTTCGAATGTGACTGAAAATGCGTTACAAGAAACACATTTATTTGCCAACAAACTAAGTATGCTCACTGACCAAAATACTGATGAAAGTTAGCTTAGTGGTAGCAGTAAATGCTAGAAAGGAACATTTGGTCGATTAAACTCATATTTGAAGAGTTCTCAGTTGTTTGTGAAGAAACTAGGCATGAATGATTTTTTGCCTTATTATTTGTTATTTTTATATGTTTTGAATTATCTCACACTTAAAATCTACTCATGGATTTGTCAATTTATGACTGATACTTTTTTTCAGAATTCCGTTCCATTTCATTTTTATATTTGCCAGTATCCCGTTGCTGCATTCATTTCTTTTGTTTTAATATTGGTTTCTTTTTTTTTCATGCAAAATCCGGCAAAATGTATGCGAATGTGTTTAACTGTAGATTTTTTAAAAATTTGTTCTCATATTTCCCACTTATCTTTATGTCACAAAGTGATACGTAAAAATTTCACTGTGAAGTTGCAGTGCTTTTTAATCATTTGCACAATTATTCTTGTTCAGAAATGTGCGAAAATTTGATTAATTTGTGAAAAGTATTATTATTTGGAAATATGCGTAAAACAATGAGAGAAATTGAAGAATTTAAGCATAGTCAAAAACAAGTTAAAGAAATTAATGCCAAAAAATTCCATTTACAAATTTTTTTCCTAGCTGTAACTCTTCCTTAAACAAATCACACTTCGATTTCTCTAATATAATAACACTATATGTTAGATATATCATTAATTTTTTGTCCGTAGTTACTTTTGCATTACTAGAAATTTAAATCTAAATACTTTACTAGGAATTTAAATCTTACTTTGTAGGCATCAGAAGCATTGATTGTTTCGAAAGTTTTTCCATTTCAGAGAAATTACAAAGGGCCATGGTGAAGCTGTATGTATGTGTCAGAAATTTTCAGGTTTTCTTTTTTTTTTGCAAATTTTTATTGATTTTGCAACTGTCTGTCAGCTTGTCCTCTTTTCGACTACTTTTTGTAAACAAAATTTTGAGTATTCGTTCGGTAAGAGACTTCTTTTTTTAACTTAAGTTTTACAAATCGTCTCAAAATTCGTCATCATTTATCATTTTGATGTTACATTGATCTATCAGGGCATTATTCTTCATTCCTTTTTTTTTTTTTGTTTGCATAAAAAAATTTGATATGTTATTATTGGTTGGAAAAATGTGCCGAAGGATGTTATATTGTTTTAAGAAAAAATTTAAGATATATGTCATCGGATTTAAGTCGAGAAAAAAATAGCTAAATAATTGCTTAAAAATTAATGAGTAATAGTTATTGTCTTGAAGAAAAAAAGTGTCAATATTGCAATAAAAAACAAATAAATTTGCAGTGCTTTTTATTTTTTGTTAGTTATTAATTCGGATTTATTGATCGTTATGGTTCAACTGTAATTTGCGCAAATTTCAGCAAAATTATTGTCAAAAAAAAAAAAAAAGTATTACATGATTATATGAATTATGTGCTATTGTTCGGTGAATTGTTAAAATCCATGATGATTACTACCATAAATACTAAACATTTCACTTATTTGTTAAATTTTTTGATTACAACCATATTTTATTTGTTAAGTGCTGCTTAATCATCATACTGATAAATGATAACTTATTATGTTTAACAATACTATTATTCGTATGCGAAGAAAAAAGAAAAACTTTATAGATTAATTTTAGTATATGCTGATTAAAAATCTCTAAATACGTGTTTTGTAGAAATAAAACAGCGTTGTTTAATGATAATATTATCAATCTGTGATTGCTGTAATCAATTAGGAGAAGATGACATTCTTTTTTCTTTTTTTTTCTTTCATCAAATAATATCAAGAACTAAAAATTGACATCAAAATAATGTGTGATTCATTTGCAGTGTGTTTGTATAATTTAGTGCAATTGATAAAATTGTTTTTTGGTGAATTGAGCTTTTGCTAATTTAAATGATTAATTAAAATTTAGAGGAAGGAAATTTGTTTTGCTAATACAGAATGATATTACTAATTTGATTAATTTCCGTAAATTTTTGTTGCCCATTATTTTCTCCGTTGTTATTGTTATTGTTGTTGCTATTGCATACTAGAATTATTTATAAAAGTTTATTATGATATAACAAAAATATGCTATGGGATGTTTTTTATGTCAAAAAAATTCATATAAATATTCCAATAAAGTTTATTGTTTATTATTATTATTACTATTGTTATTGCTTATTACTGTTTGTTATTTTTGTTGTTTTTATTATTGTTTTGTTTGTATATTTGTGTTATTGTTTTGTTTGTCCTTTTTTTTTCTCTCACATTTATTGTATATATATTAATATATGAATTTGAATTATAGAAATTGAACATTCATGTAGCAGAAATTACCACGTATGATGTGAAAGAGAAAACTTTTACAATTGTAATAGCAAAAAAAAAAAAAAAAAAATGCCCAAAAAATATTTTTACATGATTCAGATATTTTCTTTTTCTCTTTCTTCCTTTCCTTCTCGTCTAGACCAACCCCTTTTAATATTCTCGAGAAAGAGAGAGAGAGAGAGAGAGAGAGAGAGGGATGATTTTAGTATTAGTGATGTAGATATGAAGAATGAATGCTGAATAAATTTTTTGTGGTTTATGGTGAGGAAAAAATTTTAATAAAAATTTAATTCATGTTATATGTATTTGTTTTTTTTTTTTTTCCTCTATTTAATATATATGAGAAATGTGTTCCGCAAATAACGATAAAAAAAACGGAAATAAAGAGAAATATGAGATATAATAGGTCTTTAATGTATGATTGAAAAAAAAAAAAAAAACTTGCTTATCAAGTGATGCTTTTAATAAAAGATTGGGGAAGTTATTCGATAAATGTTTTATCTCATGATTTATTGTTTATTATTATCATTACATTAACTTTTACTATTTATTTTCCTTTTTTTTTTTTTTTTTTTTTAATTTTTCTGTTTATTTTTTAGTGAACTAATTCGTATTATTCATAAACCATTGTTGATTTATTTTCAATAGTGTATATTTGAAGAATTGTATTTTAGAAAATATCGGAGAATTATTTTGGAAAGAAATTATTAATTATGATATGATGTAATATCGGAAATAATATAGAGATTGAATATATTAGAGTGATAGTTTATTATTATTATTAAAGTAATAATGTATGTGGGTAATCAGGATTACGAAATGTTGATTATTTAAATTTTTTTGATATATTTGTAACAATTTTTCATCCAAAAAAAATTTTAGAAATATTTTATACGCAATATAAATGTAAAGTAAAACGGTTTTTTTTTTTTTTTTTCTGGTTTCTTAATCATAGTAAATCATAAACTCGTTGGAAATATGCTTTATCTTTGGTAATCTTCTAATAGTCAATGTTTTAAAATATTGATGAGGTAATAATTTGACTGAATTTATGCTATTAAAAATATTCATTTTAAAATTTTTAATCATGGATTTAATTTAATTTATACTTACAGATCACAGAATGAAACGAAGACAACAAATTAAAATGTTTTGGCGTCGATTACATGGAGAAGATAATAAGTTAAAATTATTAATGTTTGATGTTGATGATGAAGATTTTGTGGAAAATTTGAATGATTGCTTAGAAGCATTCCAATGTAACATTCATCCAATTTTGATTCCATCCGGAAGTTCAGGTATTTCTTCAAATATTTTATCTACCATTTGATGCTAATATATATATAATATATATGAATCATAATTAAATGGGATATTTATAAACATAAATGTACATTCGAGTTGTTTAATCGTAATATTTTTCCCCGTTTTTTCTCTTAGCTGCTTACACTTAAACTATTCATCTTTTTTCGTATATGTTAAGCTGAAAGTTTTTTTTTTCCTTTTTAGGCTCCTATTTTGTTCGAAATTTACAAGGCCGACATATTGGTGTATTTAAACCAAAAGATGAAGAACCATTTGCGGAAAATAATCCGAAATGGCCAAAATTTTTACAACGATTCCTCTGTTTTTGCTGTTACGGACGTTCATGTTTAATACCACTTAATGGTTATCTATCTGAAGTAGCTGCTTCATTGGTTGATGAACGGTTTCAGGTTCGTATAATTTATGCAAAAATTTTAATTAATTCTTTTAGAATTTTTTAATAACTGAAAATTGAAGCACATTTTATTCATCTTTTAATTTTATTTGTTTATACATTAATTTATAGCTATACATTGTACCAAAAACTCGTATTGTTAAAATGGCATCTCCGGCATTTTTTTATCCACGACGATGTTGTTCAAAATCAGAAGTGTTTCCAAAAATCGGAAGTTACCAGGTAATCAATAATATTTTTAATCTACTAATGTTTCCCATTTCATAATGTCTTAATTTTATTAGAACATAAACAGTTTCATTGTTCTCAAATTTCTTCCTTGTTATTTTTTAGAAGAAAATTGAATATTAGATATATTTAAGCTCTTTGTTCATGGTTACAAACCGGCGTATGATGTGGTACCTGGTTGGGAGTTTATTGGTACCAATGATCCACTTACATCCCTCGAACGGAAGCGTTTCCTTGTTTTATTTCAAAAAATGTGTATATTAGATTATGTAATTCGGAATACTGATCGGACCATGGATAATTGGTTGATACGGTTAATTATTTATTTATCTTATATTTCAATTGTCCAAAATTTCCTATTTTTTATTCGACATGTTGTGTTCTGTATATGTTTCAAGTTTTTTATTTAGCTTAATTTCAGGTATATACCGGATGAAACACTTGATATTGCAGCTATAGATCATGGCTTAGCATTTCCTGTTAAACATCCAGAAACTGCAACAGTTCTTCGGCCATTTGTATACGGCTGGGCAAATATGGATAGCACGCGAGAGGCATTGAATTTTTTTTTTTATCAGCTATTCAACTATCATAAATTAATGTCCGAATAAATTGATAGTTTCAACGATATATTCCTTAATTGCTTAAAATGATTATCAATTTGTTGTTGCATACCAGACAGAATTCTTTCTAACAGTAAAGTATAACTTTTCAGGAAGTAGCGAAGTTCTTTATTTTTTAATTTATTACTGTTTATGAAGTTGAGATTGCAAATTAAACTCTTAAGTAAATGATTTTTTACGTAATTTTTCTCTACATTCAAATCATATGTTGTGATTTCTTTATAAATATTTTATTATGACTTTCCTGCTGAATTTGTCATATTTCCAGCCTTGGGATGAACAATTACGCGATCGTTTGTTATCTTTACTTACACCAATGTTCGTTCATCGTTTATGTATGGAAATTAAAAAGCTCTTCATGATTGATACTACCAATAATAGATTTCTGATAAATAATCAATTGAAAGTATTCCGAGGACAGGTGATTTTGATTAAAATTATTCCACATTAATTGATTAGAAAAATACTTAGGATATAATGGTGAGCTGTCCAAATATTTTTTCAGTTATGGAATTTACGCCTTGCTCTATTGGAAAATGAATCGCCGCTGAAAATGATTCAACGACCACTTCTTGTTGTTACTAAACGATATCGTAAATATCCGACATCCGATATTTGGGAAGAGTGTTTTAAAGCTAAAACTCCAGACTATTCGGGGAGACGGTGTTGTTAATTTCAGTGTTTCGAAATGAAGTTCTAGAAAAAAAAAAACTCTCCAAAAACAGCTGTATGTGTGAATTTTAATTTTGAAATTAAGCAAGAAGACCGTACTTCCCAAAAGTAAGATTTCCCGAAAATACATTCCCTATCAGCAAAGTTAACAAGGTGGGATACAACCAATCTTTTATTTCAAATAGATCCCAACGATTTTTTTGCCCACAATCGACTTACAGAAATCATTTCTTTACAATAAATATAGCAACGAATTTTTTTCATTTCCTTTTATGACAGATCAATAACATATTTGTGCAGTATTGTTACGAGACATGCATGTTCTCTAATTTTCATTTCTTTATGTTTGCTTTTTATGTTCTTTCGCCTCGACAAATCAATGATATATTTGTGCAGCATTGTTACCACGATTTTTATATTTTCTAATTTTCAATTCTCTGCGCTTTACCATTTTCTTTCGTTCTTCTATTATGTTAAAAATGCAACTTGAAATATGTATATTTCATGTAAACAAATAAAAAGAGCTGAATTTACATAGAGTTCAGTCACAGAAAAACATAGTTCTGAGTATTTTAATTATTTGCTCTGTTTCGTAACTCTTCTGTAATTTTTCTTACATTTTTGTTATGGATATGGATAAAAATTTGTAGAGATATTTCCATCATTATTATCACTCTTAAATTAAATTTAAATTCTAAAAAGAAAAACAAGCCTTGCACTGGTCATCAACAATACAGCACCTAGAACGGTATTTACAAGCTCAAATACTGTAATGAAATTTTGATGCCTGAAAAGAACATAAAAAGAAATAAAAAAAAGATGAGAGAGAGATCTCATTGTGCTAATTTCTCTTTTCCCAATGGAATAATATGCAGATTTCTTTGCTAATGTTTCTTTCGGGATCTTTGATATTGGCTCTTGTTTTCTGATGACAATTCTAGTAAGCCTTACTTCAAGCTTTAAATGGTTTAAAGGAAGAATGGCATGCAAATATCAAAGACTACACGATTACTGTTATGATAATACTATTATTGCTGCATTTTGATCATCGAACAAATTCGAAAGTCACCAAAACTTCTGAATAATATGTCAAAATAATGCAATATTGTGAAGATATATGGATATATTTTTCCGGAAACTCTTTTAGCCCTCTCTCTTTTCTTACTAAACCAAAGCATTCAAGTGTACTGTTATGCGTCATAATAGTGTAACACTGAGTTCAAAAAACATTAAGCAAACTTCTTACACAGCACATCATTAGATACACTTCTCATGAACTAATTTATCATCACCTGGGCTCAAATATTTTACATAACTAATTTTTCACACTTAATGTGCTTTAGGATAATTTCAAATCACAACCACTATTTGCCCGTTTCTTCAGCAATTGCCTGTTGCAGCAAATTCATAATTTCCGTATGCAAACGATTCAGACGCATTGGACTTTGAATCATATCTAACTTCTTCCAAATCATTTTTGCTGAAAGTAGTACCGTAGACACTAAAAACATAGCAAGTACTATTAAAAACATAGTAAGCTGTATGTTTCATTGAGAATCTATTTCTCCACTGTCCGAACATCCGATAAACTCAAATTCGAGTCAAACAACCCCTGATTAAACGATAGTGCACAACCGCTTTGATTTATGTCACAATATCCAACAAACTTCTGATGAATAATGGTAAAATTTGTTAAGTTCCCAGCTGCGAGTTTTTTTCTCATAATTATATCACTGAACAGCCACCGAAATAAAATCTCAAACTTACCAAATAATTCATTCATTCCACCTTGCTGTTCATTCGGAACAGCTGATCTATAACTTCCAACTTCTAACGTCGACCCTATGTATGGCCTGCCCTGAAATGTGTTATATTATAACGGAAAAATATAAATTAGACAAATATCTAGAGATTATAAAAAGTTTTTTCTTTTTTTAAAGAATTTGGAAATTCTAAAAATTGTTCTAAATTCAAGCTGTGAACCCAATATTCACAAATGTAACTTGGCAGTTGTTAAAATTGCCCATTACAATTGAATTTCAAAATAAGAACACTAAAGATATGCAATAAAACTAACACCATAAACCATAAACCGGTCTTTCATCAACAGGTGCTTGCAATAATAACTCCGAAACTGCCTATAGCTACTTATTAAGAAGCATTCACTGAGGGATGAATAAAGACTGAATATTAGAGAATTGTGTATGCTCTTAATAAATCTCCCACATTAGGGTGTAACTAAACTAGTGCAAACTTGGGGTATGAACGAAACGACTTACGTCTAACTCAATATCACCACGTCCTGAAGTGAATAGAAACTTCGGTGGTTTTGGTACTAACTTTTGTCGTGTCCTTCCTAGCTCTGGAATATCAAAACATCCCACCATAAAATGAAACAGTAAAGTTCATCAAAAATAAATAACAGAAGAACACGTCGTTCTTTTAATCGGTGCGAACAGAGAAATGGAAAAAAGGAGGGAAAATACAAAACAAAAAACAAGGAACAAAAAATAAAAAAAGCAGATGTCTGTTCTTTAATTTTTTAAATTAGTTGAAGGGAAGTACTTCTTTGCTTTAAATGAAAATTTTTTTAGAAAAGTTTAAACGACATTTCAAGGTTCAAATATGTGAAACAAGATGTTCACATTTAATAAATTTGCACATTTCCCCACCTCAGTCTTCCGTAGACCTTAGCATCTTTCATCAATATTATCGCTACTAAATGCATAAATCCGGACCTATTACAAGAATATAAAACGTAATTCACATTCAAACTTTCTTGAATACACATTCAAGAACACTGTGTCTATAGCCAACTAATCTTTCCTAGGCATCTTTTAGCCCTTTCATTGGTTAATGGATGAAAGTCGAGGTTTCATTGATTATTTTAATGGAAAAAATTTTTAAATTGTTAAATCATCGTTTTCTGTGAACTTTGTAAAATATGTTAAAACGATGAAAAAAACCAAAACCTTCCATCATCAAACGCGGCTTCGGTGGGCCTTCGTAAATGCGTTTCTGCAATTCTCGAATGCATTATTTGAAATTCAGAATTTGGTAAAGTTTATGGACCTCCAGCAGTAAATATGACATCAGCACTTGTTGCATGCATACCATTTTTGGTGAATGATGATATTAGTAGGGCATTTTCAAAAGATTACAGATTTTTTATATTATTAACATATATTACAAAGAATTCGAAATCCTTTTAAATTTCCTTCGTTTTTTGCTTTGCTTTTTAAACCGACCTATCTTCTCCTCTTGAGACCCCAACCAAAATAATTTATTAGAAAAAGCAAAAGCAGCAAAAGCAACTGCTGGCATTTTTAAGTTTAAATAGAATTTCTGCCCTTCGACAAGTTAGCTTACAAACTGTTAAAACCAATTTTGAGCAAATCTGCTGAAATAAAAAGAGCACATTACTGGTAATCCAAACAGTGCATATTAATAAAATATTTTTTATGTGCCTTTACCGGATTTTTTTTGCATTCTACAATTTCATTTTCAATTTCAAGAATTTTAAAGCGCCCCATCTGTAATCTTTTGCTTAGCGATCAAAAGTTATTATAAAATCAAACGTTGCTAACAACAAAACACTTTGAAATTTTTGAAGCGAAAACACCTTCGCAACGTTTGGAATATAAGCAAAACAAAGCTGTTCAAAATAATTTTTAAAAATAAGTTCCACACCTTATGTCTAATGCGAGCTAGATAGCATCGCTGGAGGGTATTTTTTATCAGTTCTTTTTTTTTTCAAAACTAGATGTCTGAAACTAATAGGCAATCCAGATCGCCCGAGTGATTTTTATTCCAAAAAAGTGAAAAGTATAAAAAACTGACTACCTCTGATCCCGGATGACCAGGATGTATCGATGGTGTTGCTTCGTTGAAAAAGCCGAACTTTTGCGGTGGGAAATGATGGGGAGGTCCGGATGCATTAGGATATCGTGAGGACATCATTCGTGCGGCATTTGTTCCAACAGGATGTAGCGGCTGCAAATTATACACATTAAATGTGTATAATATCGGAGTATTGAATTTCATACATGGAAAATCTGCAACTGTAGTGCTGAAAAGCGAAAAGAGGAAGTACGAGAAAAGAAAACATCACCCTTCCACCAGGATGGCCTCCACGCATTAGCATATACTGCTGCTGTTGATACGCCAATGACATTCGTCTCTTTACACCGCCACGCTTAGCATTACTCCTGAAAATGATATAATTTGGTAAAAATATTCCCGAGGTATAATGAAAAGATCAACTAAACATGCACTGTGTTCCTTGATGTGAAACATTGAGGAGCTATCTGGAATAATGAAAGCATATTTTCTTGAAATTTATGCAAGCTAATAAATATAAATAATAGGTAAGGAATATTCTATGAACTATTTTCGATGAAGAAATGCAACCTAAAAACAAAAAAAAAAATGTGACTGAGAGAACTCAAATAACACACTCCGTCAAATATGTCCCTTTCGATAACAACTATAACTGTATAGTTGGAAAACAAAGAAGCATCGTATTTTGTTAAAAAAATCCATTTAGTCAATTGATTAAAATATAATTCTAATATTACACATATTACCTTTTTCTGCTCGATTGCTTCTCATTTATTACAATTTGATCACCATTTCGTCCTAATTTCACATCATTACCTGTTACATTCATACGACCACCAATTGTTGATGTCATATCATTAATCTTTGTTAAGTAAGTGAGTAAGATATAATATAAGCGTATATGTCAGTGTTGTAAAAACGTTGTAACAATGTGTTTCTGAAATTGAAAATAAATAAAAAATTCATAAAATCAGTTAACAAAGAAGAAAAAAGAAGATAATAGCATTTTAAAATCATATCATTCACTGAACCTGTATCTAAACACATTATCATATATTCGATTGTTTTAGCACTCAGTGTCTTTTTCTCTCCTAATACATTCCACAATATTTCTTCAAGAAGAAGAAAGCTAATCACGTCACACCACGTCACGTCCACGTCACGTCCCACACCAACCAATACTACTACTGTCGTTGTCAGGATTGTCTCTCGCTTATCCATCCCTCACAGTGCAACCCATTAGGTCTCTTATGCAACAGTATTATCTCAGAATTACATGCACATGTCAAAATATCACTTACTTAAATCAAAAAAGGAAAGTAATTACACAGATAGATATGACATATATCTATATATAATGTTGATTAAAGATTGGGAAAAATGGAAATATTAACTTTAAACTTAGAGTAATAGGAGAGAATAAGCAGTTAGAGAAAAAGAAAAACATTTGTTTGTTTCTTCTTTTTAACATAGGAGATGGAATGATCTCATAAAATTTATCAATTTTTTAGGTAAAGAAAACAAAATACAATGCTAAAGATGATGTTATTTCAGAGAGAAAGAGAGAAGGAAAGAGAGAGAGAGAGAGGGAGAGGGGAAAAAGAGTAAGAGAGAAGAAAAACGAAACTTTAAAGTATAAATGTATATAATGGTGAAAAACATTGTTACAAGACCTTCGAAGGCTTATTTTTTTAGTTTTGACATGTACTGATATCATATCACTGTATCAGCACTTATTGTTTTTTTTTTGACTATTTTTGACACTTTATGTTAACTTTAAACTTTAAAAGTTAACTTTAAAGCAAACTTTCATTTGCAGAAATTAATTAAATCTGCAATTATAATTGATTTCAATTATTTTTTAAATATTAAAATTAATTTTAGTCACAATTCCAGATAGGGTTACTTGAGAAATTTCGACAGTTTTTAAAAGTTTTAATAAATAAAATATTAAAAACGTATTAATTTTTATTAATTCTGTTTCAAATTAAAATCTGCTAATACTGGAAAAATATAATTCATTTAAAAATGAAATTCAAATATCCATCAAGCACATTTTAAATTTTGCACAAGAAACGTTTTCATCATTAAGGAGGGATTTGTTTATAAAGTCGAAATTTTGAAAGATTCCATCAATGATGAATTACACAGAAGATTTGACAGATAATACCTTATTTATCTATAAAGCATTTTTGGACTTACGCCGAAAAGAACCGTAAATACGAATTCTGGCATTCAATCAGTGTCGCGATATCAATGTAATCCTTCATTATGGCTTACAATGTATATCAGCAAAAGATGTCACAATAGAATATGATTGCCCGTGGAAATGGGTACCCGAACGTAAATGGTTTTCCTTTATAATCATTTTCAATGTGAGAAATAGCAATTTCTCTATCAATACAGCAAGTATTTTACAATATGGAATTGTATTTTCATAATTACCCTATTTTTTTTATTTTTTTCTTTTGTGTTTCTGTAATCTTAATTTTTATTCTTTTTTTAGATTTTTTTTACTAAATTTTTCTAGAAATGTTATTAAATTTTATAAACACATCAAATAAATTATATTTAGAAATATTTGAAAATCTTTATGTTAAGATTTATGTGAAAATTAAATTAGATTATCATTCATCTATTTATTCTATTGTAAAGTCTATTACTTTATTCTAAGTAATTTGTAAAATAGATTACTTTTGGAAATATTGTGAGTGAAAATGGGTAAGAATTTTTTCTTCTTTTGCATAACATTTCTATTGGATATAAGATTTGGCGCAAAATGTTCTTTGATGTTAGAAAAGCAACGAATGTTGTGGTATGCTTAGAATAAAAAAAATAAATTCAGCAAATGATAAAGAAAATTAAGTATTAAAAGTATTTTTCTGCTAAAAAATTTAGAAAGAAATATTAGTAAGGGAAAGAAATTGAATGGTTGATATCCCGTTGCAATTGCTCCCGCGGAAATACCAAAATATTTTTGTACGTTTGTGTGTTACCCCTCTACTGATGTTGGAATTATGTTGCATTCATTCATTGAGGTATGCAATTTCTATGTTTCATTTAGTTAGTATAAAAAATTTGTTCTGTTTTAGAATTTGACGTTGCAAATTTTGAACCAAACTAAAATATTAGTTTATTGGTTTAACCAAATTTTATTTCTTGTTTCAACTTCTAAAATATTTCTTCTATCCCACACATTTAGGCGTTTTTCATTTGAATGTATCAGATTAATGCATTAATTCAACGAAAAAACAAAAAAATTGTAATACATAAGTTACAAAATTGTAGTATAAATATTTAAAAACAAATGTAATTGTTTCAATAATAAATACGCATTTATTATTTCAGACATTCATTCTTCTTTTTGATTAATAAAATTTCGTTCTCATTTTATAGATGGCGCATGTATGGTTGTAAAGCTCGATATCATCTATGTTGGAAAGTGCTAAGTGATAAAGACGAATGGATTATCAGTCATATCAATGTTAAAAGTGATTATAGATTTATTAATTGAAATGATTTTGCTCTACTTTATCATTAAATCAGATAGAAACTATTGTGTTGGTCAAATTGAATTCCTGAAGCAAAAACTACAATGTCTTCCCTATTCTTTCTTTCTTTCTCATGTGATACTTTTTTTTTCTCAACAAATTCATCTATGAATCGTTGTTCATATGCGTTAACTAATTATCAAAACATCGTTGAAATTTTTATAAATGGGAAAAAAAAAAACTTTTGATTGAAAAGTGTGCCATAATTCTGTTGTTAATAATTTCTACATTTCCTAAAAATCCAAAACATAGTTTTTGAAATAATTTAAAGTTGAGAAAAACAAAAATTAATATAAAACAATTTTATATACAGAAGTTTACAATCAAAAAATATTTACTTATTAAGAGATATTTAATTAATCAAGTGTTATTTTTGTCCAGTTTACTTATTATAATCTGAATAAAATGTATAAAATTTTAATAAATATCGCAACTGAATAATTTTTTGAAAAATTATTATAAAACTTTTTGCTCTTTTATTTTAAGAAAAATTATTATCAAAAAAAAAAAAACTTGAATTTTCTGTCTTTACTTTTCTTATTGCAAAAATTAACAAAAAAAAAAAAAAAATAGTAAAAAATTTATAATAAATTCAAGTTTAATTTTCAACTTGTTATGGCAAATTCAAATTAACAAGTAAGTAGTTATCACTAATTTTTAAAACGAAATAATTGAAAATACTTCTTAAGTAAAAGTTAAATCCAAGTATATTATGAAAAAAAAATAATTTATAACTCTTTTTTTTTTCAATTTTTCATATTAATTCATATAATTCTTAGATTATTACAAATGTTTTCGAAAACTAAAACTTATTACATTCAAATTTTTATCAAAAATTCAAAACAAAAAACGAAAATACCTGAGTAACTGTTAAAATTTTTTGATAAGAAACAATACGTTCAAGTCGTCTAGATCGTCGATTAATTTCTGATAAGATATCAAGATTTGGTGTACGATGAAGCACTGCTGAATTCTTAGGAATTGTTGTTCGTTGAATTTCAAGCTGATACGGTCGATAAAGATGATACGGTGATCTGCACGTATATAACGTATCAACGTCACGGATAAACGTCATTATGAAGAATTTACGTTTGCAAATTGTTGAATGAAATAAATATGCGATTGCTTTATATGAACATGAAAATCAATTAATCTTCATTTCAATCATTTGTATTTAGTAAAATTTTAAATTAACATATAGATTAAATTTAGGATTGTAAACGATATTTGAATAAATAAACTAAATAATAAAAATTAATTAGTGATAAAATAAATGAGAAAATGAAAACCTTTTAAGATAGATGGGAGAAGCGTACTGCATAGGTCCATTACTTTTGTTACAAAAGCATTAGCATCAGAAAATAGTTATCGATGTTTTTAATCGACTAATTCAAAATTAATTATCTAATAAAAATTGCATCTGCAAAAAAATTAATTATCAAAATTTTGCATCATTCAAATTATTCCATTCTAAATTACTTTCAGTAACAACAAGGAAACATGAATTTTATTCTAATTTTTATACATATTTTTCTGTTATGGAAATGAAACTAACAAAATAAAATATCGAAATGTTTAAATGTGTTAAAATAAATATTAATTTAGACCAATGATTACAGAAATATGCTAATTTTTTATTCATAGATAAATAAGATTTGTTGAAAAGAAGGTAATAATAATTAAATTTGTAATTTAAATTTGCTTCAAAATTTATGGAATAATTAAATACTCAACTAATTGTTTTATCTTTTTCATTCTTCTGCAATTAATGTTCTTTTTTTTGCATGGGAATAGAAAGATAGCAAAAAGAAGATTTATATTTATTAAATTTGTATTTTTTAAAATTAATAATGATTAATAAATATTACATGTTGCAAAATGTATTCATTACATCTATGTAAAGAATTTTCAATTAAATCTTAATAATTACAAAAAAAGAAATTCTGATTAATTTACGGCTCAAGAAGATAACTTGGAAAAAAGAGAAATTTAATTAAATTTGTTAGGTTTATATGAAAATTTGGAATGCACAGAAATTTTGCTTTTTAAACAGATTATAAACTTAATTAGTTGGCGGAAAGAAATTATAATTTAAAATGTGAAATCAATATAAAGTCATTTCATTGATTTGTAATGATTTCATTTAATCGATTGAAATAAATAGCAATTCAATTCACTTAAAATATCACTCATCGATAATTCATCTCAATGGAACAACTGAACATTACTGAATTAGAACAAGACGGATAATTAGCAGATTTCTGCTAATTAATTAATTAATTATGGATCATTAAAGCAATCAGTCTAAATGATTTCAAGCAATGAAATATTTTAACATTTTCAAATTCCCATCGTGAATCTTTCTCTTTGGTATGCTATTTCGGAAAATTAATATTAATAGAATAACCATTATTTGATTCCAAAAAATATCATAAAATTATAAAAATTCATATACATATACACATATAAAAATTTATAGCAATATTTTTATATATATAATAAAAAAAAAACTAATTTTAAATTTATATATATAACAAACCTAATTTTTTAATGAAAAAAGAAAAAAAAACTACTGAATGCACTTTTTGATTTCAGAATTGTTGACCCTCAATAATTTCTTAGTCATTTTAATTTCAAAAAATGAGTTGACGGTCAAGAATCATATTGAAATTAGAAATTGAAACAGTTACTAAAATTTTAATAATTGAGTTTTAAACACTATTTGTGTCGCGAAATTAATTAAATTTTAAAGCTATCGCTGTTTTATATCAATTTTGCAATTAAAATTAAATTTTATTTCAAATTTAAATTTTTAAAATTAAGAAAATGCTGCAATTTGTATTAGTTTTTGTATACAGAACTTAAAAGTAAGTTATAGTAATAGCAAATCTCAATTTAATTAAGTGTTTAAACCATTGAAAAATATAATTTAATTTGAAAAAAAGACATAATTTGAACTTATTGATAATTTTCTATGCTCAGCACGAGCACTGGTCACATTCGGTGTGGTCATTTTTCAACTTAAATGATAAATTAAACTTTAATAATTGAGTTTTAAACATTATTTCAGCATCAAAAATAATTAAATTTTTAAACGTTGATAGTTTTAAATCGTTCTGGCAATTAAAACTAAATTTTATTTCAAATTTAAATTATGATTAATGAGAAAATGCTGCAATTTGTATTAGTTTTTGTATATAGAACTAGAAAATGATCAGCACTTTTGTATTGTATCTTTGTACTAGTGTTTGATATCATATCACTCATATTTGATATCATATCAGCGTTTTACATCTCGTTAAATTTTATTTATACACTACTATTATAAGCTTTTTTTTTGTTTATTATTATAGGTCTTTTCGTAATTTAATTAGCGAATCACATACTTAAAATATATCTGCCTTTGATTATTTACAAAAAACAAACAAACAAACAAACAAAAAATGCTATACAGATAACGGATACCTTGCATAATTACATAATTTGTATTTTAATAATTGTTAGCTATTGTTATGCTGATTAGGAAATAGAATATTTTTTAGCGATGTTATGTTACTTAATCAGATAAAAAAAGAGTAAAAAAAAATTTTTTAAAAAAAGAACTTGTAAGCCTATGTATGAGAAATACTGATAAAAAGTAAGAATTAAGTTAATAACTAGTAGTCATAAAATATTGAGCCAAGCAATTACTCTATTAATACTATTAAAGTTGTCAAACAAATAAACATCATATGACCCTTACTTGTTTGAATAAGTTATGCAAAAATTTTAGTTGTAATACTTGATATAATTAAATTTTATCAAATTACAAAAGAAAAAATTTGTGTAAAAAAATAAAATTAAAAATTTTTGGTTTATATTTTGTGTAGACGTATTATATATGTTATAGACTAGGAAAATAAGAAAATTTATTAGGATTATCATTAAAACAATTAATTTTGAAAAGATCATTTTTGTTGAAAAGAATCACAGGGTTGCTTTCCTTATAACCATCGAGTGTTGTTGAATAATCAAAATAATCATTTGACATTTTTTGATATTACACATCTGATCAGTAGTTATCATTGCCATATATTTCGACCATCTTTTTTAATCACCGATTTTAAAATTTCACCTTTGAAGTATGGATTCTGTTGATTTTGAGAATGTTGAATGGATATGTCATTGATAGAACGCTTTCGACGAGGTTCCTGAAACTCTAACCTTTATTTTTCAAATTCTATTTCAAAAAATCAAATAAAATTTGATGAGAAAATGTTTGGTAAAAGTGATAGGAGTAAAAAGCCAGATATTTGGTAAAAGTAAAGAAATTTTAAATTTGCATTCATATCTTAAAAACTCATTTTCTTTTATTGATTATAAAAAGCTAACAATCCTAAAATGATTTTTATCGTCCAATTTTTTTCCTTTTTTCTTTAATGAAGAAGTTTTTAAATCGATCAATGGTTAAAAAAATTTATATCATATTAATATTTCGAGATTTAATAAATATTACCAAACACTAAAGTAAATGGAATTCTGCAATTAGTTGCATTGGTTGAACATTCAGATTTAAACACTTCAATATATGAATTTAACTTTTTGAACTAATATTTTTAATTTATGAATTCAAATATGCAAATAATTTCTGCTGCTTAATTGTAAAAAAAAAAAGATATTATCAACCTCTCTTACGTCTTACACTTACCATTGCTTGTGATCGTTTTTCATGAAATTTTTTGGCAATGAGAGTTTTATGCAATCCTTGATCGTTGAGAATACTTTGCAAACTTTCCTCCATCAATTCATCATCAATCTTTTTGTCTGGACAACTAAAAACTATCATCTATTTGCTAAAGTTTAGAAAAGAAAAAAAAAAAAACAGCAATAAATGTTGATAATACGTAAGCAATAGAAACAATTAGTGAGAAAGGATAAATTAAGGAGGACATTATTGATTTAAATTATGAAAATATGTTTTAAAATCAATTGATAAGATCTAATCGATGAGTAAATTTAAAGTAAAAAATGAACGTGTGGCATTATTAATTTGCTTTTTATTGTTGTATTTGTCTTTGTGTTATTAGAAGTGTTGTTTTATAATAAATATAATAAATTTTGTTTTTATAATATTATTTTACTATATTAATCTATTATTTACCTTAATAATTTGATGCTTTTGAGATGATAATAACACGAATTTATTTGATAGTTTAGTATAAATATATATTATTTCAAAATTTTTTTAGCTGAAAAATTTAACTTCAAGTAAAACAAATCAATGAAATATTTTCTTTTTATAGTATGATTCATTCGTTAGACATTTTAGTTAACAAATTTATCATCAATGTAAACTAGTACACTAATCATCTTTATATCATTATTTATCTTATCATATTGTTTATCTTTTATTTCTTTTTACCCTATTTCATTCCTTTATCAATAATTTATGCTTACTTGAACATATGTTCCTGATCACAAATGCATGTTTGTCTGGCTTGATAATTTCGTGAAAATTCAGCACTATTTTCAAATTCTTCCAAGCAACCATCCGCTGCTGTATAACCTAATGGGCATGGATTTGGTGGTTCACAATAGGATGGCAATATGTTGTCGCTTTTAACCTGTAAGTTAGTAAATCTAAAGCTTCAATAGTTCTTACCTTACAGTTCTTACCTTGGTGCTTCTTCGGCCCTTTGAATGTGAGGAAGATGTCGAAGGATTTAACTATAAATGAATCTCGCATTTGCTGAAGAAATCAGAATAATGATGTGCCTCCTTTTTTGGAAACAAGCTCACCTTTTCTCGCTCTTCAAAATCCGAATCAGGTCGCAGAAGTTGTGAACCTTCACCAGCTCCACCTGTAACTGATTCCGCTTTCAGTTTATCATGTCTTTGTATCCCTGTTAAACTGGTAGCTTTCATTATGTATTCAATTTGGCAAATAACAAATTTAGCTAACATAGGAACAAAAGAATTCTAGCGCGTTTTTATAGTAGTGAATCTACGAATTTCCAGAAATTCCTAAAAATGAAAGTTTAAAATACCTGTCATGTATTTGTGGCCGAAAGCTAATGGACTTGGAATGGTTTCAATGCCACGGCTTATCAAACCAATAAATTCAGGTAGATCCTGAAAAAAAATTTATGGCAACGGTAATAATTTTATGTCATTTATGGTAATCAATAACAAAAATGTCAACATCCAATTAGAAAAACAAGCAATGTTCTGATTGGTGGTAATCGCATTTTATAGTGAATTTTATAATCATAAAGATATATGAATTGTAACAGTGTTATGAATCTTAACCTTTTGTCTATAATTGTATTTCAATCGACAAAA